TTTTTAATTTTACGATTGTTAAAAAAGATATGTCTTTTATTTTTTCAAAAGATATCGACGAAAACGCTAAGTCTACAAATTTTATATTTCAGTACATAATTTATTTAAATATTTTCACTCAAAATTATGCACAAAACGCGTAATGTTGACCCTGATTATCAAAAGCCGGACTTCCTGTGTAATGCAGCGTGTATAGGGATTTTTGACATCTTGAGTATTGGGGCTCTCCAGGTAAATAACATCAGTACTACCAAGACCACTCCCCCTCCTCAGGTAACGTACGGTAAAAAAATTGGGTCTTTAAAATATTTCATTCCTCCTGAAATTGGCCTCTCTTAGTCTTTGAAGATTATTTCATATACAAAGATAAAGTATTTTGTCCCATTTTCATTTATTTATTACTTAAAAGACTACCTGGTCATTAAAAAATAAAAAGTACTTTTTGTATTAAATAATTCTTTTAAATTCTTGTATAATTCTGTTATTTAATTGACCTTTTACGTCACATCATATCATGTGAATAGCAAAGGGGAATAACTTCTTTCAGTAGAATTAATAAATTGACCAAAGGGTACAGCATTTAAAAATCTGGTAAAAACACTCTTGCTTATTACAACTTTATATACTCCGTTTGCCTCCTAGATGCCCAGGAGCAGAGAAGATTTTCAAAGGAAAATCCATTTTCGCTAGAGATTAAATTTAGCCCGACCCGAATACCAGATCTCCTGACCAAGAGGCCAAGATATTCACAATTTTGGAAGAGGCACTCTTGCTCATCATCACTATGCACTAAGTATGTTTACATAATAACAATAGGCTATAGTTACCTATAGTATATTTTTGTAAGGGTGTCCCCAATAGTTTGCTATATAACTATCGATAGAAAAAAATAAACAGTCGTTAAAACAAGGTCTAGAGGGTAATCACGTTTAGGCCATTCCAAGTTTTTTCTCTGTTTAGCGTCAACCCATCTTTCAAAAACCTACCTACCTATAAGCAAAACAAAAAACAAAAAAAAAACAAAAACAAAAACAAAAAACAAAAAAAAACACACACACAACCAAAAAATAAAACAAAGAATTTATAGTCATAAAAATAAGGTCAATCAAAGGAATTGATTTCATTCATCTGTTTTTCTCATAGAAAGATTTATTCTAAAGCAAAATCAGATATCAAATGCTTAAGTTTACCTAACATGACATATTGTAGACAAATATTTAGAGAAACTGACAGAATTCAAAGATTTTGACCAGAATAATCAGTTTCAGGAATCCTGATTTTGTTTGTTTTTTCTGATATTTGGTGTCTACAACCTAGGCGCACGTGGACGCTAAACATAGAAAAAACTTGGAATGGCCTTACCGGTAATATCTCAGCAATTATTACAGGACAGCCGGAAGTTGAACAACATTTGAAGAAAATCAAACCTATTGTATAAATTTGTCAAATCATGCTTACATCAGCAGAGAGTTTAGTTTGGAGGGCAATTTGTTCAAACCTGTCCTATGTCACCCAAGCAATGTTTGGCTAGAATGATGCAAGATGAAGAGCATCTTATAAACCTGTGATGTCAAAGCTGAAAGTTATCCAATATGGTACCAAACACCTTTTTAAAATCATATTCCTACTTGAATGTATTTATGCAAATCAAACGGTTCCCTGGTTAGAGCTGTCTAGGTTGCTAATAAACGTATCTTTCATTTTTCGGCAGATATACAGTTCAACTTCTTACATTTTTATCATCTATTCCTTTTATCAACTTAATTTCATACGAGTCTTATTCTTACTCTAAACAGTACATCACATGTCAAAACCACCCTAAACACCGTTAAACATTTAAAAAAATCGTTCTTTGAATTAAAATGTACTCTGTAATATTCCAAAGCAACTGTTGCTTAGTAAAAACCTATAGATACATTAATGTCTTGATATTTCAAATAGGTTATGATCTTTTTCTAAAAGATAAACAACATATATGTATATGTAAATACATAGCATATATTATATATTTAATGTGTATGTACATTGGCAGTATTACAATTTTTAATTTTCTGATTGTATATTCATACTCCCGCTTGTAAACCGGGGGGGAGGGGGGGTGGGGAGGAGGGTATAGTGATGGGAGTGTAGGTCTGTACCTCTGTTACGCTTGGGGGTACCCATCTCTTATCCGCAACTCTTCCTAAACATTTTATAGACAGATATTTCAGGTTTCTCATATCAAAAAAAAGAACATTTGTCATTAAGGGAGCCGGGGGTATCATTTTGTGACCTCAGTGCTCACAGTACCTCTAAGTTATTTTCCCTTTTATAACTCCAATACAAGCAAGCTTCCTGAATGCAGTTTATTAATTCTAAGTTGTACAATCAGTAAGAATTTTCTCACATAGATGACACTGGAAGTTTTCACATCTTGTTTTTTGATCACCAACAGCTTACTGAAACCTGGATTATCAAAAATTATGGACACTATAAGTCTCAATTTTTTATCAAGATTAATTATCCTCTTGCAGCTGAACCTAATATTAAAATTTGCTTTTTCACTTTGATGAACTTTCAAATATGAGTTACTGCTCTTGGTTAAACCAAAATGTCTCATAATTTTTTGTTTATGTCTTTGAAAACACACATTTATAAACTCAGTGGTACAGTCCCTGAAACGTTCTACTTTCCCATTTTTCCGTTCGCTCACCGTTCGTTCACCGTTCGTTCAGCGTGCGTTCACCGTTCGTTCACCGTGCGTTCACCGTTCGCTCTCCGTTCACAGTTTTGCGTTCACCGTTCACCGTGCGCTCGCGTTCACCGTTCACAAAGCGTTCAGCGTTCGCTCTTCGTTCCGTTCACTTTGCGTTCACCTTGCGTTCAGCGTTCACCTATCGTTCAGTTTTCATTGCCATTCGGAACTCCCAAGTGAAAGGACTTATCTTTTTGTAGGTAAGGAGTTACAGATTTTTTAATTTAATAACTAACATATCGTGTTTGAAGAATCATTATTTCATGGGGGAAAATATCTAAGATATATATTTTTATTATTCTAACTTAGCTATTAGGTTATTTATTAAATTACTCTGGAAAATAAATGTTGTTATAAGCACATTCTGTACCTATGTAGAACGATGCTGAAATATTAAATTTAACTAAGGGCAATTTTGTTGTTTTGTTAAAGACGACAAATCGTTAATGGAGATATAATTATCTAAGTCAAATAATTACGCAGCAAAATTACGAAAATATTTATTTCTAACGCGTTTTTTAACTCAGTTACTACAGAAAATATGATAGAACTAGTTCTGAGAGTTATACATAGTACTGCGGATATCCTGTTAATTTATTATCTTTGGAGCGAATTAAATTGATAGTGTATTTAAAGGAAATATTTATTTAAAATGTAATGCACTACAGAATTTTCGCTACTATAATACATGTATGTAAAGTCTATAGTTATAGAGAAAAAAATTCTTTCTTCACCGTAACTTTATATGTTTGCCATTCGATATGATTAACCCCCCCCCCTTTTCCCCTAAATCGGTTACTTAGTCAGTACTGTATTTCCAGAAAATTTTAATTAACCTGTTAAAAAAAGTTAAGGTCTTTTTTAGAACAAAAATTTCAGTCTCAAAACAAACATGCATCTAAAAAAGTCACAAAACAATAGTAGTTCACAATGTACACGTGTCGGCGGTGGTATTTGAAATTGGCAGAGAGTATGTTTCAAATTCAAGTGTTAATGCCCAATATATTTTATTCATTTATTATTCAAATGTTGGTATCAAATCTAGAAATGATAAAAATAAATGTTATAACTTGTTGGAAATACTCGCACTTCGTCTTCGATGTGACGAAACTTTCACACCTGCACAGGGTCGAATGATTTTGATTGACAGGACAAGCACGTGGACTTCGTGTGAACTTGAAGCAGGAAAATAAAAACGAGTAATACTGTCAAACAGATGGATATGATTTGTTGATTTAAAAAAAAAGTTACTTTCATTGTCTAATATATTTAGAAAAAAATTTCAGAGTTATTGTTTGATATAGGTACAAACATTTAGTGAAGCCTGAAAGGAAGGAGGGGGGGGGGGGCTAAAACGGAATCTCTCTCTCTCTCTCTCATTTGTCTGTTTAATAAAAATTATAACAGCATATTACTTAAATATCAAGTTCTGAAAATTGAATTTATAACAAATAAAATGAATATGTATCTTTGTATTTTCTTGTTCGAGTATAATCTCGGCCATCTACAGATACATGTAGAAGTCTGCTCAATAAATCATCATGAAAAATAGAAATGACACATAATATATTATTGTATTAAAATTTAAAATACGAGCGTATAAATGCAAAACGTCCACTGACCTTTGTAATTAATTTTTTTCATTACTTTACATGAAATCGCCTTGACACGGAGATATATGAATGGATGTTACAATCGCTTTAATTCATTCTATAAGTCAGAAGTTTTCTCTGATTTGTTATCAAATAAGAATGAACATTTTTATTTTCCAACTAAAAAAAATATCTTTTATACTTCAGCGTTCGGCAACAATTGCAATGTTTTAATGCGTTAAAAATCGTATGATTAAAAACTTAATGTGCATGAATCGTCTTTCTTAGGACAATTTTGGAGAATTTATTTTATTTACTTATTTATTCATTCATTTATTGGTTTACTTATTTATTTATTACTTTTTTTTTGGCACCTGACATTATAATACAATAAAATAGTCAATGCAAGGAAAAGATCAGAGGCATTCCGAATATATCGTTCATCTAGCGTTCACCGTTCGTTCACCGTTCACTTTGCGTTCGCGTTTGCGCTCCGTTCGCGTTCTGCGTTCGCTCACCGTTCACCGTTCACACATCGTTCACAAAGTTGCGTTCAGCGTTCACACATCGTTCACTCACCGTTCGCTCTGCGTTCGTTCAGCGTTCGTTCACCGTTCGTTCAGCGTTCGCTCACCGTTCAAGTGGGAAAGTAGAACGTTTCAGGGACTGTACACTTGTACTGCATACATAATAACATACAGAATGTTCTTGCCCTTCACTTTTTAATTGTATTATTTATACACAATGTTAACATTTTTTTTAATTGTGCTATTCATACACAATATTAACAGCAATATAAATAAAAAAGAACAAATATAATTATAGAGCCCTGCAGTGATACTGTATACAATTAATACTACATGTATAAAGTACCTTTTTTAAATAAAGAAAAAACTAGAAACATTTATCTATCCATATTCAGGGTCCTCAGCTGAATAGAATCATTTACAAATAACTTACTACTCAATAAATCTCTAATTTGATACACAATCATTTCGATTTAAATTACAATCATACTTTAGTTCACCATATCTCACAACTCTGTTTGCATGGCTGAGGAAGACAGGACCATAGAAATATTGCTATCAATATCCCCCCTCCTCTATATATACTCTGTGTTTTCTGACACAAAACGACTATAAAATTGGTAACACATGTAAATTTTAAAATCTAGGAATTGATAACATTTGTTAATGTTTCATTCAAAAAAAAACAAGAAGATAAATGTAGACATTATATAAAACAATGATATATTGCACAAAAAGCCCAATACATTTTCCCCCAATAAAAATAATAATCATATTAATAAATGTGCACACCAAAAAATTGATGTAAACAAAAGGAATGTACGCATCTCTTTTCTCATGTTCAACATCTACTGGCGCTTTCTTTCAAATAAAACAATAGTACAAATGCATCAGTAAATTAAGTCTTTAAACATCTATCCACATGATGAGTGCTGGTTTTGTGTTAAATGTATTGGATTTCTTTCATCACATTTTATACACAATCCTTGCTGAATGAATGGTTTTAAAGCTTTCTCACCAAGATTGACTCTTCTGTGAAGAATCATATTTTTCACATGGTTATCTTAAAAAGTTCAATAAAGCATTTTGGTGTTTAAGGGTTAAGGACATTGTGATATGATCAATGTGAATTTGATTCTCTATCTACATGTTCTAAGACTGAACAGAAATAAAACAGTCTAATAGTTGTACAAAAGACTCATGGCTTCAGCGGCTCGACAGCGGACAGCAGGCGTCTGGTCCTTCAGTAACATAATTAATGCTGGAATATGAAAAATTAACAAAAATACTCATGAGCTCTTATCTGCAAAATCAAATCAAAGACCATTTTCTACATGCAAAGTTTATTTTTATATGAATAGGTGCTGAACTAGCATTGTGAAAGATTAAGGCATATGCTGAACGTAAACTAATATTTGAACGTTAAGGGTATACACGTACCTGAACAAACGTGCTCCTTTGATATTGTGTTCTGTTTGGACTCGGATAAATTACCCAGTAGATAACCTATAAATAGTAACAACGTGTCACATGTATCACCTGAAAAAGGTTTCAACTGAATGAGTAAATCGACAGTCAATAAATACTGAAGGTAAAAATGCATAGAGTTTTCTTTGTTTCCATGATTATTTTTACCACATACAACTCCTCCATCAAAATACGCAATAAAATAATTATCAAAGTATTGTATATCAATGTACTAAAAAATTAATCATTAAACAAAAACCTCTTTTTAAGGAAAACAAAAAAATTCAAAATAAACTCTTGTGAGTGAAAAAAAAACCCATGGCATACATATGAGAGCAGTAGCTCATCTCAGGGACTGTAGAACAACCATTATCATATCAGATTACTTATTAATTCTCATAGTCTTACCCACGAACAGTGCAGCATTACTCTTTATCTCTGGCCAGAGGCTTTTAAAGAAAGAGACACACCCCATCACATAAAAGTTGATTTTGTCTGGAAATTCATCTAGCTACAAATTGAAATATGACAAAAATTCAATGAAAATTACCAAAATTTATGTTTTCCATCACAAGACATAACATTTAAACTGTTTTATATAAATACCTATCCTTAGTACCAAGAATATTCAGTTAACCCAAATCCTGAATATAGGGTACATATATATTTTATACAAACAGTATTTGAAAGGGTAGGAAACATATGTATTCAGAAGAGAAGGAAACAAAAAATGTAAGGATCCCAAAAATATCTGGATTTAAGGGATGAAATCTTGCATTAGGAAAAATGGTGAAAATTCCTGATATCTGCTAACAAAAATCACAGAAAAAAACCTCTGCATTGATTTACAATGGTTATTTTCACAACATTTCTATTCGTGACATGACTTTTATCAGCCCAAAATTAGTCCTAGCATGTGGTATCGCACAGAAAGCAAATTTTGAAAATTTAGTTCAAAAATACAATATGGCTGAAAACAGGATACAACACAATAATATAGAAATATGGACAGAAATGTGTAGCAAGTCAATACAGAAATTTTTCTAGTGATAAGAAATGTACCATGAGTTTAGCAAGGTCATTTAGGAATTCTCCATAGATGAGGTTAGCATCCTCCAGTAGATGGCGCTGGAATTTTCCGTTAATGGTCTCTGACCCCATTAGAGGGCCTAATAACCTCAGTGAGAATTTACAAGCCTGAAAAAAGGGAGAAAATGAATGAATGCACTGTATACAGTATCTAAGGTACGTATCACTCCTAGCGCTTGATTTTACTGATCAACTGACCTTCTTTACTTCTGTCTCTGGATCATTTAAATGAAGAAGAAGACTGACTAAGTTGCTATGGATTTGTTCTAGGAATGGAGCTTTTGAGGGGCCATCTCCAAAGCGGGAAAGATTTCCAAATAAAATAATAGCTTGAGCTCTCACAGCTGGCTTTTCCTACAGAACACAAAGAGGAGATTGTCACAGACTATAAATAGCTCTGTCAGAAAGGATGGTAAATCCAGTGTCGCAGTCTTTATAGATGAAAATAGAAACTAATTCTAGAACATGACAGTAATGTAGGACTATAACCTACTTAAATACAAACCTTTTCAAAACATGGGCGGATTTTAAGAGAGACATTGATAAGAATAGCCCGGATATGGCTTTCCTCAATTTCACACAGTATCCTTGACAACCCACTCATGGCTTCTGTGGTGATGTCATCATCAGGATCTTCCTTGTCATCCATTCCTGCCATCATGGCAGACAACACTGTTGTAGAGTATTTTTTTACCTGGTTAAAAGATATTGAATTCTTATAAACTACACCAGATAATAATTCTAATGCGTTGCTAAAATTGATATTTTTTGAGAAATGCAGGGGGCAAAACAGGTGTTTTACAGAAAAAATAATACTTGCTGAAATAAGAGTAATTTAACAGTTTACTCAAAAACAGAAAAAAGAAACAAAGGACTGAAATAATTTGATCAGATGACATTACTCTGGCTGGTGATATCGATTTGGAACAATGACATGAATAAACTTACAATGTTTCTCCTAGGAAGTTGTAGATCAGACACTGTCATTAATTTTATACTTTTTCTGCTATTGACCTTAAACTTACTGAAATGACCTAAAAAAGTTATACATAGGTCATCTGTGTACCAGGTATAAGCATATAATGATTTTCTATTAAAAAGTTATAGTCTGGACAAGATGGACAGATGGAGAACTAGACAGACAGACTGTTAAGGTGAATCCTATATATCCTCCAAACTTTGTTTGCCAGGGGTATAACTTTATAAAATGTCATTAGTTTGTAGTAGAGAATAAAAGGGCAAAAAAAGTCATCTGTGCATTTAAATGAATAATCAAATATCGAAAATGTAATAGTAAGAACCCCTACATAATGGAATACATGACATTATGAATGTTCACAAAATATCCACAATAGGTGCTTAACTGGCTCATTGCGTTCATGAGAATGCTTGTAAAAAGTACAGCAAATTTTGTTTTGAAATTTTTTTAGCCGAAGATTTTTTATAAGCTGACAGTATAGCTTTGATTTCTTAACAGTTCTGAGCTGACACTAGCTATGTTTTCTTACCAGCACTGAGCTGACACTAGCTTACCAGTTCTGAGCTGACACTAGCTACGTTTTCTTACCAGTTCTGAGCTGACACTAGCTATGATTTCTTACCAGTTCTGAACTGACACTAGCTATGTTTTCCTACCAGCACTGAGCTGACACTAGCTATGTTTTCTTACCAGTTCTGAGCTGACACTAGCTATGATTTCTTACCAGTTCTGAGCTGACACTAGCTGTGTTTTCTTACCAGTTCTGAGCTGACACTAGCTATGATTTCTTACCAGTTCTGAGCTGACACTAGCAATGTTTCCGAGGCCCCGGATACAGAGCATGCGGACTTTGTGTGAGGAGTCCACTAATCTTCCCAACAAACTATTCATCACCAGCTCAACTAGGTCTGCATTATCCAAACACTTTTGGTTAATTAGCTGGAAATGAAAAGAAACATAACCTTATTTCAGGTAACCTGACATTGTAATCTTTTTTTGAGAACAATGTTTCATATAGCCTCATTTATACTGTCATTAAGGATGTCAAACCATTTTTTTCTTTTTTCATTTTAATGATCTCAGGTTTTAATAAGAAACCAAATAATTATTTATTATTTAATTAACACCCTCCCCCATAAAAAAAATCATCTGTAGCTTTTAGACACTGAAGAAACTCATATAAAAATTTGAAAATTATGATGCTTTAAAAGAACAAAAGCAGAAAATTATAACAAAGTATGATAGAGGTTCATAGCCTCTTTTCAAGTTTCAGTAGGAGACCAAAGAATTAATTAAATTTCCAATATTCAAAGTTCATAAAAGGTCAGGTTCTCATCATCATTTGTCTGCGTGGCCTTAAGATTATCTGACAGAAACCTCAAAAAAGCCATGCATCAAATTCAATATTTTCAGAAGAACATTTGTCCTCATACAAGGAAGACACATCTTTTGAAAGGAATAGGGTGAAATATGTGATATGTTTAAAACATTTTCTTTTAAATTCCATAAAATTTTATGTCTACAATATTTTCTTTTAAATTCCATAAAATTTCTGTGTGATATATTAACACATATTTTGTCTAAGATCTGCCAGGTGGCAAGGAAAATTTTCCCTAAGTCATTATTGACACTGAATCAGAAAAAGTTAAGAAAGTAGCTAAATCATGATCAGAAAGGTCACATTGGTAAATATATCAGAACTCCACATTGTTCTCCAAGGAGAGAAATATTTACCTCCTCAGAGAATGTTCTAATGAGATTCAGTTAACAAACTCAATGTTTGTGATATGATAATAATACAAAGTTAGCTTACCTCGGCAAAAAATGCTGCTACTACGACCCTCTGTGGGTCGTACAGACTAGACAGGGCGGAGGTCAGTGACGCCACAATCTGAGACACATGCGGGGCCGCCACACTACTGCTCACTAGTGCCCTGTAAAAACCACAAGTCTCCAAGGAAACTGTACTTCTACTCACACATTATATTGATAATACTCTTGAAGTTGTGAAGTACATGTACATTTAGGAAAAAAATTAAGGTAATAAACATGAAAGGTTTGAACTTTCATTTTTTTTTTTTTAAGTGACTATCAAAAACAAGAGGCCCATGGGCCACATTGCTCACCTGAGCACATTGGCAAGGTAAAAGCACAAATCAGTTCAGTATTGAAAAGATTCCAGGGGGGGGGGGGGGGGGGGTCTTGAATTTTAAACTACCTGATGATGCTTCCATGTCAATATAACAAATGGCTTGTTGTACTTGAGAAGATTTTAAAAAAATTTTCCCATATATTCCTTTGTAAAAATTTGATCCCCCATTGTGGCTCCTCCCTATCCCAGGGGTCATCATTTGAACAAACTTAAATCTACACTACCTGAGGATGCTTCCATATCAATATGACTAAACATAGTTTTTCTGTTCTTGAGAAGAAATATTTTTCTATATGTTCTTATGTAAAACTCTCGATCCCCCTATTGGGCCCCACCCTACCCTCGGGGGTCATCATTTGAACAAAATTGAATTTACACTACCTGAGGATGCTTCCATATCAAAATGACTAAACATGATTTTCAGTTCTTGAGAAGAAGATATTTTCCTATATATTCCTAATATGTAAAATTTTCGATCCCCCATTATGGCTCATCCCTATCCCCTTGGGTCATCATTTTAACAAACTTGAATCTACATTACCTGAGGATGCTTCCATATCAAAATGACTAATCATGGCTTTGCAGTTCTTCATCAGAAGATATCTTCCTATATATTTCTATTTCAGACTTTGATCCTCCATTGTGGCCCCACCCTACCCCAGGGGGTCATGATTTGAACAAACTTGAATCTACACTACCTGAGGATACTTCCACATAAATATGATCAATCAGGGCTTTGCTGTTCCTGAGAAAAAGATTTTTAAAGATTTTTCCTATACATTTCTATGTAAAACTTTGATCCTCCATTGTGGCCCCGCCCTACTCCCGTTTGTCATGATTTGGACAAACTTGAACCTACACTACCTGAGGATGCTTCCATATAAATATGACCAATTTGGGCTTTGCTGTTATTGAGAAGAAGATTTTTAAAGATTTTTCCTATATATTTCTATGTAAAACTTTGATCCTCCATTGTGGCCCCGCCCTACCCCCGGGGAGTCAGGATTTGAACAAACTTGAATCTACACTACCTGAGGATGCTTCCATATAAATATGTCCAATTAGGGCTTTGCTGTTCTTGAGAAGAAGATTTTTAAAGGTTTTTCCTATATATTTCTATGTAAAACTTTGATCCTCCATTGTGGTCCCACCCTACCCCCGGGGGGTCAGGATTTGAATAAATTTGAATCTACACTACCTGAGGATGTTTTCATATAAATATGACCAATTAGGGCTTTGCTGTTATTGAGAAAAAGATTTTAAAGATTTTTCCTATATATTCCTATGTAAAGCTTTGATCCTCCATTGTGGCCCCGCCCTACCCCCGGGGGTTATGATTTGGACAAACTTGAATTTACACTACCGGAGGATGCTTCTATATAAATATGACTCATCGTGGCTTTGCTGTTCTTGAGAAGAAGATTTTTAAAGGATTTTCCTATATATTTCTATGTAAAACTTTGATCCTCCACTGTGGCCCCGCCCTACCCCCGGGGATCATGATTTGAACAAACTTGAATCTACACTACCTGAGGATGCTTCCACATGAGTTTCATCTTCCCTGGCTTTGTGGTTCTTGAGAAGATTTTTAAAAGATGCCATTAATTTTTCACTAATTCTTTATTATTTCCCCTTGAAAGAGGGCGTGGCCCTTCATTTGAACAAACTTGAATCCCCTTCACCCAACGATACTTTGTGGCAAGTTTGGTTGAAATTGGCTTAGTGGTTCTTGAGAAGAAAGTCGAAAATGTGAAAAGTTTACAGATGGACGGACAGACAGACAGACAGACTACAGACAAAATGTGATCAGAAAAGCTCACTTTAGCCTTCGGTTCAGGTGAGCTAAAAACTACTGTAAAAGTGGTTAAATTGAAAGGTTGAAAGTTTGATGATTTTGGTATATAAGAAAAATGGTGAGTGGAAACTTTGATGATCTGTTAGTATTTAACAGTTTTATTTAACAGGAATGTGAAAGTGGACAGGTGGAAACTTTGACGATTATTAGAAATTTGTCAATTTCATCAACATTTCCATATCATCAGTTTCCACTTTTACAGTGTAATAGAATAGACAGGGTTTGAAATTAACAGTCGCCCACTCGCAATTTGTGACTAATGTTCCATGTGGGCGACTTAAAATTACATTCAAGTTGCCTACATGGCAATTAGAAAATTTACGATAATGAATATTTGTTTTTTAATTTTGTCCGAATGTTTTGTATTTTTCTCTTGAAAAATTTCGTAATCGGTAAAGTGCTTTATAATTACCCGTAAGAAGTACTTATACATAAAGCATCTAGTAAGTGATTGTGTCGGGCACAAAGAAGCATCGACGGGTCAATGAGCCCAAGAAACCAAAAAGTAGTTGTTATTTGTGAATGAAAACGTGCCATGTGGGGATCATATCAATCTTCATAAACAGGAGAGTTCCACTTCAATTTTAGATAAGTCGTGCATAATGTTACAATGGATAGAAAAGAAACACGAAGCACATGATAAAAAAAAAAAAAACGAAAAATGGGGTTGTTGTTTTTATATTCAATAGAAGGTGTGAAAATCTGTGGGCAAATGAATTTTGATGTGGGCCCCAGAATTGCAAGGTTCAGTAGCCCACATGGCTATCAAGGATTGCAAGTTAGTTTAAAACCCTGATAGAGATGATAATTTAAATGCTTTAAGTAAATGTAATGGGAATAAAATATGCTTTGGACAAAGGTTTTATTAAGAGACCTATTCTTACCTTGACCTTTGACCTACTAACTTGGTTCAAACTCACTGTGAAGTATGAGCCAAAATGATCCAAGGGCAGAAAATTTATACAAAAGACAAGAGTATTTTATACAAAGATCTGCTTCAACCTTGACCTTTTACTTAGAAATCAAGGTCACTGCAAACCCTCTACCCATTGAGACTCTGATAAGTGATAGTACCTTGTGAGTATTGTGAAGGCCTCAGGATAATTCTCCTCCTCCTCAAACTTTTCCCAACATTCCTCTTCAGTCAGAACCTCAATTACATCGGTACTCTTTGTTCTTACCAGAAAAGACCTGAACGTTTCTACGGCTGCCCTGAAAAACCACATAAAAATAATACGTTGTGTCAAAACACTGCACATACATGAATTACTGTATAACTTTGTAAATATATGCATGGATAAAAAGTTTGGAACATCTTAAATCACAGCTGAAAGAGCTTCTATACATCCACTGACATTTCCTGATTCAAATTTCAGTCTAAAATATGATACTGCCCAGAAAACGTATGTCCTATTTACACAAAAATAATTACACTTGAACACTTTACATGTCCCATTTTTTCTTACTTACTTGCTTGGTTCAGGAACTTTACTGGACACAGGTACCGATTTTTTCCCTTTAGACTTGTCTTCCTTTTCCATCTACGATATACAATTTACAATATACAATCTGGTCACCTGACATCCTTATAAAAATAGGCAAGAAACAAAAGGAAATATTTAATGTCAGAGTATCCAACTATTTCAACAGCTGCCTCTGTCATATTGGGCATCAGAGTACTGTAAACCAACTATTACATGTATTCACGACAGCTTTTATTTGTGATTCTTCAGTTTAGAATCCATCCGTGACTACTAATTTTTGTGACCGAGGCAACATTTTACATAAATACATAGGTGAATAATTGATTCATGACAAGAAATGTTTGCGGGAAAAAGAAGGTCGCAAAACTTGTGGATCGAATAAAAGTTGTTTTACAGTATATGTATGCTGAAAGGTGAAATACTTGATGTCATAATTCTTCAAGCTAATTAATGATCACACAGTATATTTCCTCTGTCTGAGCATCCAAATCCTATACATGAATTATTTTTGATGACAACATGATTTGACTGCTTTAGTTTGAACCTATCTCATGAGACCACTTTTTTTTATTAGTTATTTTTCAAGTTAAGTTAATTAAGAGAAGACGGTAAATTTTCAGATCTACATTCAAATCAGGAGAATTCTGGGGACTGAGATGAAAACATAGATTTGGAAATTATGTACCTGTAAAAAGATGCCTGCCTGATGTATTTTATAGCTTGATCACTGTATGGAATGAGACAGCTTTTATATTTTCATTTCATAACTTGTTTGACATTAATGAACTAACCATGATCATGCAATATCTCAACAAACATTCCATAATGCAATACCTAATATAAAATTATCCTTATGAAGGGTAGAAATAACAACCTGTGGCATGAGTTCTTGTCAACGCAAAAATGTGATTTACTTAGTAAAAAAGAACAGTAAGATTTCCTTCTATAAAATAAAACCGAGATATTTCCAACATGTGGGACCGTTCACGGTAGCTCAGTCTGTAGAGCGCTCGCTCCGTGATCGGGAGGTCGTGAGTTCGAATCTCGGCTGCGACAGACCTAAGTCAATTAAAAATAGGTAGGAGCTGTTCCTTCGCCATGCGCTCGGCACTTTGAAGTGAAAGTTGCGGGTCCTTCGGATGAAACCTTAAAAACCGAGGCCCCGTGTCACAGCAGGTGTTGGCTCAATAAAGATCCCTCACTGCTCAATGGCCCTGAGTGCTGAGTAAAGGTCAAAATTTGAAGCCCTTCACCGGTATATGGTGACGTCTCTATATGAGTGAAAAATTCTCGAATGGGATGTAAAACAACATACAATCAATCAATCCAACATGTGGAACTGAAAGAAACTTAAAGCTGAACATGACTCGTAAATAGGCATATGCCATATTAGTATTTCTATCTCAGAAATCAGCAATGGGGTATTCCCTTCGCATTCATTACACCTGACTGCTTTCTTGTCATGGGTACCTGCATGGGATGGACGACATGTATTCTTGATGATTATCTTGCATCACCATTGTTTATATTTTATTGCAGTTTACATGTATTTGTGTTTGTTTGTACTGCAATGTCTTGTGCAACTGGTGCAAATTTCTTTGGTAACTTTATCTTTGCAGTTGAAGAAGCACAGTTACTTTTGTTTTCTATACAGAGAGTTTTACAATAGCTATGTAGAATACGTCTGTCCACACCGATTACACTGAACCGAAACCAAGCGAATGGCTTACTGGTATACAGTAAGTACAGCTAACAGTAAATGCAGAGTAATATGGCTAACAAACATAGATCTCTGCCTTTTTCATAATGTGTTCAGCTTTAAGATAATAAAGGGTTCAAGATATTGAAGCCAAGACTTTAATACATGATAGCTAGTGTAGTAATGTAAGCATAATTCAGGGAATCTGAAATCCGATCAATGTGTTTTCTATTTACTGAACACTTTCTAGAGTCTCCTTTCTTTTGTTATTTAAATTCTTTTGTTCCAAACCTTATATTAAGCAGGGTTTTCTTCGGGTGCCTTTCTTTGTTGGTCTTCAGACCAAACTCTTCCCCTCTCTCTCTTTTGGCCAATAGGTACCTTATTTCTAAATTCTTATTTTCATGGATGATTGAATTTTTTTGTTCCTACCATTTACTATAATAAATCATAAATCTCCATTATCTTTTTTTTATCATTTTGAAGTTTTTACAGACATTCTGAGAGTACATACAAATCTGATCTGTTGATAAGGACGCTTTCCTTATACTAAACCTAGCTACGATGGCCACATTTTAATATAACATGGTCAATAGTGTATATTGTTCTTCTTTATCCAAGACATAATCATTCTGCTTGACAGGTTTTTTTTACCTTGACTGGTTTTCACCTTGACCTCTTTCTACTTGACTGATTGTCACCAATACCTCTTTCTGCATGGCTTATCATCATCCTTATTTCATTTTTCAGTGGTTTTCACCCTTACCTCATTTTGCATGGCTAATTTTCTTCTTCATCTCTTTTTGCTTGGCTTGTTTTCATGCATTTCTTTTTGAATGGGTGGTTTTTAGCCCTGCCTGTTCTGCTTGACTTGTTCTTTCTGCTTGACTAATTTCATCCTTTAGTAAATATCTCTTTTTGCTGCAAAGCTGGTTTTCATGCTTACCTCTTTCTGCTTGACTGGTTTTCATGCTTACCTCTTTCTGCTTGACTGATTTAACCCCTACAGATGAACCCATCCTTAACATTAGTGCTCCCATCAGGGTGTGATAAGCCTTTAGGACCTGCTCCTCTGTCTCTTCACAATCAAATATTATCTTCAGAGCACAAGTCACCTAAAAGAAAATCAACAGAGCTACTTAAGTTAATATGATCTGCAATTTTGTACTTCTGATATTTTTTGAATTAAATGGAAATAATGTTAACATACGTCAAAAATTTCTTTCTCAAGAAAAGTCTCATTAAAATTTTAATAAAACGCAAATTGAAATACATCATGCAAGACTTGAGGTTGTAAATAAGGATTTTTGGTGAAAATTGATCATAGAAGGACCTTAAGAGACAACAGTGAAATCTTCCTGACAAGTCAAATCTGGTGCACAAACAAACTTCTATACTTTATAAAACCTGTTTTCAACTCTCGAGACACCCAAATCTATTTAATATGTGAACAATTCCCTATTTATTCTCATGCAGTTATTCTAATTTCATATGCCATTTAGCATTTCATCATAACTGAATTTCACCTTCATCAAGGAGATCTAAGTTTTTAAAAAAATTGATTTAAAAATCACAATAAATACACCCCCAAAAAATAGTGTACACATGTACACTATCTGATGTTAGCAAAAGATCATATTTTATACTTCAAATAAATGAAGAAATAGAACATAACCATAAAATCCAAATGAACACCAAGAACAGGGTACTAAACAATCCATTAAACTGGTGGTGTAAGATACTGACTGCCATAGGTAAACTGGTGGTCTAAGATACTGACTGCCATAGGTAAACTGGTGGACAGGTATAAGATACTTACTGCCATAGGTAAACTGGTGGCTGTCCTAGTTACTTCCTCTTCATTCTGTCTCTCTTCATACGGCAGACTTTTATGAAGCTTTTCCAGCATGTGGTCAATCATGGCCGTGGTAATCTGGGGGTCCTGGGATAGGGTCTGCCAAATCTCTACCATATCACTATAAACAAAGTACACAGTATAAATAGAGCAGTGGTAATCTGGGGGTCCTGGGATAGAGTCTGCCAAATCTCTACCATGTCACTACAAACAAAGTACACAGTATAAATAGAACAAGTTAATAATTAATAAACAAGCTCAACACTGTGAGTGTTAGGTAAAGCATATAACATTGGGAACTCTGAGAGAAAGACTTAAACAATCTGTGAATTCATGCAAATCAGAAAACAATCTTCAAAGACTGCAAAGGGAAGAAAAAAAACAGAGGTCAATGGGCCACATTGCTCACCTGAGCACTTTGGCTATGAGAAAGCAGAAATAAGTTCAGTATTGAAAAGTTGAAATATAAATGTGGTTCTGATATTTTATCTTCTGTTGAGGCTTTGCCCTACCTCCAGGGACATGATTGGAACACATTTGAAACTATTCTACCTGAGGATGCTTCTGAATTAATAAGACTGGCTTTGTTGTTCTTGAGAAGAAATTTCTTATTGATTTATCCCTTATATTATCTTATAAAATTTTGATAACTTTGATCCCCTGTTGTGGCCCAAATCTACCACTGGAAGTCAGGATTTGAACAAACCTAAATCTACACTATCTGAGGATGCTTCCATATCAATATGACTACACAAGACTTTGCTGTCCTTGAAAATTTTTTTTCAAGATTTTTTCCTATATATTCCTATGTGAAACTTTAATCCAACCAATCCCCAGGGATCATGATTTGAACAAACCTGAACCTACACTACCTGAGGATGCTTCCATATAAATATGACTAAAATATGGCTTTGCTGTTCTTGAGAAGAAGACTTACAAAGATTTTTCCTATGTATTCCTATGTAAAACTTTGATCCCCCACTGTGGCCCCAACCTACATCCAGGGGTCATGATTTAAACAAACTTAAATCTACACTATGTAAAGAAGGTTTCAAATAAGTTTCAACTTTTTTGGCCCAATGGTTCTTGAGAAGAAGATTTTTAAAAGATACCCCCAAATGTTCACTTTTTCTTAATTATCTCCCCTAAGAAGAGGGAGTGGTCCTTTGTTTGAACAAATTTGAATCCCCTACACCCAAGGATACTTTGTGCCAAGTTCAGTTGAAATTGGCCCAGTGGTTCTGGAGAAGAAGATGAAAATGTGATAAGTTTAAGACAACAACGACAGACAACTGATAAATTTTGATCAGAAAAGCTCACTTCAGCCTTCGGCTCTGGTGAGCTAATGACTGGAGCAAACAAATTCAAAGAATTGTGGTTTGTTTTATTTGTTAGGGTGCAATGATTTATGGCAAATTGTAACCATCTTGTCTGTCCTGTGTTGTCTGTCCATCATGCTACAAGTTCTGAGTAAAAGACTCTTGTGTGAAAGTTATGACAAAGATTAGATTTTGAAAGTCAATTGCAATCAGGTAAAATATTTGAAATCCATGTCACTTCTGGTGCATAAGTTATGGCCATGCAAAGTAAACATTTTTGAAAAGTAGGTCAAATTCAAGGCCAGGAATCATAGGAGATTCAGAGAGTTCTTGTGACAGGTTATTCACAGGTAAAAAATATGAAAGTCGTTTCTTTAAGTGTAGATCTAAGGCCAAGGTAAAAATTTCCAGAAAGCCAGGGACAACAACCATTAAATATCTTTGTCTTCCTATTCTGATTATAAGCCAAAGAGCAACTTAAACATATTTGATTTCCTAAGTACTTCTCAGAAATAAAGCTCCAGTATTTATCTTGTAATAGTCTGGCACCAAACCAAGACAAAAAAATAATACAGAGACAAGACCAATGCAAAAATTCAAGGTGGTAATTGTTTAAGTTACTGTCACTATGTGTGAGATGAATGTTCAAAACAAAAATATTGTTACAGGAAAGAACTTTGAATATCCTGTGTCTTCTCAATACACCCCTGACAGAGGTGTTGGGGTTGAAGACTCTTAGAATATTTATTTGCCCATCCATTGGTCTGACTGTTAAGTTTCATGACAGCATTTTTGTCTGTTACCAGAAGTGGCCATCATCCAAACTGCAGCAGAATGCATCTGATTCAGAGGTTGCTCTGTCAAATACGAGCCTTAGATAACAAACTTTCATCTAATTCAGAGGTTGCTCTGTCAAATACGAGCCTTAGATAACAAACTTTCATCTGATTCAGAGAATGCTCTGTCAAAAACATGCTTCAGATAACAAACTTTAATCTAATTCAGAGGATGCAATATGTCAAATACACGCTTCAGCTAACAAACTTTCATCTGATTAAGAGAATGCTCTGTCAAAAACATGCTTCAGACAACAAACTTTCATTTGATTGAAAGAAAGCTCTGTCAAAAACATGCTTCAGACAACAAACTTTCATTTGATTGAAAGAAAGCTCTGTCAAAAACATGCTTCAGACAACAAACTTTCATTTGATTCAAAGAAAGCTCTGTCAAAAACATGCTTCCGATAACAAATTTTCATCTGATTTAGAGAATGTTCTGTCAAAAGCATTCTTCAGATAACAAACTTTCATCTGATTTAGAGAATGCTCTGACAATTCCAGCAAATCAACAATGCTGAGGAATACCATACCATTGAGTGACTGACCAACCAGGGCATATGTTATCCAGAATTCCCAAACATAAACTAACAAGATGGGCCGACAAGGACAAAGTGGTCTATGGACTTTATGACCTCAGAGGTTGAAACTATGTACAAACCTGTCATGTCAGCTGACCAGTGTTTTAAGACTAAGTCTATAAGATGAAACTTTGTACAAACCTGTCATGTCAGCTGACCAGTGTTTTAAGACTGAGTCTATAAGATGAAACTTTGTTACAAACCTGTCATGTCAGCTGACCAGTGTTTTAAGACTGAGTCTATAAGATGAAACTTTGTACAAACCTGTCATATGGCAGCTGATAATTGAGCAATGTTTTCAGGACTGAGCTCAAGTGGTGAGTAGCCAGTGTCCGAATCGAGCGTAATGTCCCAGTCCGAGTCTGTGTGAAGTCTATACTGGCGAGTTTACTGTGAAGGGAGGTAACTATGTTATCCACCTGCAGAAAAAATGGGCTTCAAATTACAAATTAAACATAGGATTAATGATTTCTTTATTAAAATTTCCTGTAATTACAGGGAATAATCACAACATGATATGCTAACATAACTCTCCATCACAGAGCGTGCATTACTACTGCAAACATCAAAAACCCCTTCTCTCCAAGAATATATAAAGGACAAAATGAAATCAAGCATTCATAACCAAGAAAACATAAGGAAAAGAGAGATTACAAATGTTGGGAGCCATGAATTCAACAGAATTTTTTCCCATTATATGTCAAATGCCTTCTTTACAAGTCTGAAATACTGTAAATTACTAAAATCACTTATTTTTGTGGGGTCAAATTATTCGTGGTTTGAGGAAAAAGTATTGGTTTGTGGGGTTTTGATTTCATGGTTGAAGAAATGTAGCATTGTCAAGGTTACAATTTTAACACTTCTAGGAAGACATGATTTTGTTGGTCTCTTCATATGAGATTGACAATGAAAATTAAACCCCCACGAAAATGAGTGATTTCACAGGTGAAACCAACAACACAGAACATGCTAATATTTATGTATAGAAATGTCATTATAAACCCAGCAACACAGAACATAGGATTTATGTGTAGAGATGTCATTATAAAAGCAATTACAAAGGTTACAAAAATATAGATTTCACATACTTCATGATATAAAAAACACACGTGCATGTGCATTCAAATATACAGTCACCACATTTATTAACTGTCTTTTTTTCTTCTTATATCAATAATTTTAAACTTTCTTGAGACTGAAAAATTGTTTTTGTTCTGATTTCAATACAAGTAATTTTGAACTTTCTTCACAACTGTAACTTTAAAGCACAAACACATGTTTAGTTTCAAATGCAGATTTTGATTATCAAATATCCCTGAAGCCTATATAATAATTTATTTATTTTACCACTTTTCCGGAAACCTGAATTTTAAAATATGTGGAAAATTAAATTTATTTTCAAATTGTTAGCCAGTTGTGAAATTAACAGTGTTGCTTTTTGATTTGCACAGCTCTGTTACAAATGCACAAACTACATTTTTTTCTAAATACTTGCTTTAATCAGTGAAGCAAATGTTGTGCTAGTAAATAAAATGTTCATTTATGCTTTCGGAAAGTTTCCCCCTCAAACATGCTTTAAGACCCTATACACCTACCTGACTCAGGATCTCTGCCCCCCGAGTCTTCATTATGGCCCTTCAGAACCACACAGTCTATACACCTACCTGACTCAGGATCTCTGCCCCCCGAGTCTTCATTAGGCCGTTCAGAACCACACAGGCCCCAGATGAGCTGTGAGACTGGGGGTCAAGCAGTCCCTCCTGTAGGACCTCTAGGAAGTTTTGGAGTTGGGTGGATGGCATCTTCTTCGCAATCACCTGAAGAAACACATTAAGGTAGAAGGTACTCGGAGTCAGTACTTTAGATTACAACATTTTCGCGACATCTTATTTTTATGACATGGGTTTTAAATATTTATAAGCAAGAAAATATTTTCACAAAGTCTAATTATTGTATATAATCTGTTCTAAAATATAAAGTTTTCATGAGTTTTCACATAATTACACAAAGTTCTCATGAATAAAAAGTGATTCACCGTATTCATAGAAGCTATATCTGCAAACTTAGCTAGCACACAAGCCAAAAGACTGAAATATGGACAGACACCATAACTCCAGTGTAACCCTCTGGGGGGCATGCATGGATCTAGAGGGGGGTTGGGGGGTACGGTCCCCCCCCCCCCCCCCCGGGAATTTGCAGAGTTATCAATTGTACATAGTAAAGCAACTAAAAGTGACCTTGGACCCCCCCCCCCCCCCTTAGAAAATGTGGACCCCTGTTAATTAAGTTGGTAGAAAAAGTCATACATATGAAGCTTAAGAAGTGAAGTGGAGTGGCTCATTTGATCCATAGTAACGTTTATTTTCTCTAGATGTCATCTATATACTTACCTTGGAGAGGTCATTTATGACACTGAACAAAATGTTGGGGTCTCCTTTGACCAGTCTCTCTTTGAGTGTGGGGAGGGCCTCAATCATAGTGTCCTTGTAGTCAGCTGGGTGACCTGCTCACATTTACAATACACAAAAATACATTAGCGTTTCTCATCTCTAAATAACAAGAGTAAAACCTGTCTCTTCTGACCACAAATTACCCTACGGTATAAATTAACAGACAGATCATCCATCAGACCTTATTATTTAATTTTACCAACTCAATCTCAAAATATATTTTCGTTTTTATTATGATAATTCTCAACCTACAAGTTTCAGGTGTTAACCATCTTATCTATTAAATTAGTTCTCATATTATCCTGTGAGGTTAAAAAACAATTACCAAATTGACATACATTACATAAATTTTTTCTTCTTTAATATGTATTTTAAAAAGGATAGACTTTGCTGTAGTAAATAGTTCTGAAACAATTTAGACAATATTTGTCACCAATTTAGAGAACAATTCATTTTGGAGAATTTTTCAATTTGAAGACAATGAATATAGGTATATATGTAATTATTTATAACGCAGTAAGCTAGTTACCATATTTGGAAAATAACTAATAGAAACGAGAAATTTTGTGTGTGGGTGAACTGACATCCAATATTAAGGTGTAGCATTTTAAAGGATTTCGAATACTTATGTGTTTTTTTTCTAACTAAAGCAACATTTATCCAACACTTTAAGGACAATTTATCGTTTTATTTTCCTTAATGTCTGATTATGTGTGTAAATAATGGGGCTGTCACAGTTCCCCGAAATAACCAAAAACCGTGGTCCAAGTTGTTCAGTTCAGTTTCGGTTTCATTTTTCCGGATTTCGGTTTGGGTCTGGTTTACATTTTAGAATATGTTTTATACAGAAAATGGCATCGAAATCAAAGAATGAAGACAATTACAGTGATAGATAAACATCGCAAGTGAATTATACTTCATTCCATGACAAAACATTTGTCAAGAAAGGATTAGATAAATAAAACAAGCAAGAATGGTCAGGTTGTAGCTAATAATCAGCCTAATAGTCCTTAACACCTATGTCAAGACGTTAACATGGATAAGATTTCTTTTCAAGGTGAATGTAACGTAAAAAATAAACATTTTTCATGTTAAATTCATGAAATTAAGGTTTGAAGTAGAGGTAAATAACCGAACCGTAAAACCAGAAACCGAACTAAAAATTTACAGAACCAACCCGACCCGAAAAATTTTGGAACCGTGAAAGCCCTAGTAAATAACAATGACTGAAATCAAGATTATATCCCTATATACCTACTTATCATCATAGTTAACACAGATAAATTGACAAATGTTTGAAATTGTGAGTGAAAATTGTAATCAAACAGGTTGACTGACATTTTTTGAAGACCGTAATATATGTAGTAAAGTCACCAGCTTATTCACAGTGTACTTTATGAATTAGGATAAAGAGTATAAGTACCTTTAGTACATTTTGATGCTTTTATATTCTTACCCTCTATTCTTGAGGCAATTTTTAATGAGATGTAAATACAGTCGATAGCCAGTTGTCGAACTTCTGAATCTGGGTCAGTACATCGTGGGACAAGCCGCGCAATCACTGTGCTCTCATTGGTGAATTTCTGGCACAAAAAAAGACACACTTCACTTTACTACCATACTACCAAACTGGAAGACAGTCCTTAAATTTATTATCTTTTACAATTTTATATATACAAGTAGAAAATTAATATTACATACTAAAACATATCATGTCAATTCAGCCCAAACAGCCCCATATTTGGGGTGGGGGTTTGGGGGGTGTTAGGGGTTAGAGCAATAAGTTTATGAGATGTACATACACTTTTGGTTGGATCCATGTTGTCTAGGAGGAACTGTGCACATACTTGGAATGTACACAGGGCTCTTTCTCTCTCATGGCTATGTGTGGACAATAGCCATGGAACAAGATGCTGAAAAACATTCATTATAAATGCCAAATACTCAGTCAAGACTTTCATGATCAATATAATTATTTGTTAGTTCTCAGCTTTAAGTTACCAACAAGCCTGATTCAGAACAGAATGTGACGTTTTTACTATAACAGATATCGTTTGCTCAGATCTTTACTGTAGTGTCTTGATGACTGTTCAGATCTTTTTTAATGAATAAATGATCATTATTTATACTCAAATACAAACTCTGAAGAAGTCACTGAAAAATGAAGTTTATAATTACCTTAAAAATGGAGTCCAGCCCCTCAGTGGTCAGGTCCTTTTGGAGAAGTTCCTTCAGGAGATCATAGAGTGCCTCAAAAGAGGACTCTAAGAGGACCTCAACCTCTAGTTCCACTTCGTCCTTCCCCTTCTTCACAGCAGCGCCCTCTTTTGGCAGAGGGTACAAGCAGTCAGTCGCTGTTTTAATCAGGTCAAATTCCTCAGCCTCTGACAACTTAGGATCTAGTCTACTTTGGTGGAGTTAAGGTTATAATAAAAGTTACATTAAGCTTATATTCAACTCCATGATTTCTGAGAATCAATAAAGTTGGTTGCAAATAGTTAAAGTAGCATGGTTGTCATGGATTATCCGCGAGTTTATGTAAGGTTAACTTTGTTGTGACATCATAATACCTTATGTTACCTTTCTATAGATAACAACAAGTCTCAAATAAACCACTATACGATTATAAGATGGCTTTCATTTCATTCCACAACAATGGTCTTAATGTTTAAGTAAATTTTGATAGAGAAAAATAATTGGCACACCAAGTGCATTTTTCCATCATAGGCTAAATGATGGTGTTTCAATCATAATAAGATGACAACCCCAGAACCCATTGAGAAAAGACCGAGACTGGAGGGTTGGATTGTCATGATCATACCATAATTACGTAGTGACCAACTAAAAATTTGTGCACTTAAAATATGTCAAAATCTTCATCAACTTCCTAGCATAATGATATATTAGCACATTTTGGGGTTTAATCATATATTAGTGTGTACATTAATTAGCTATCAAGAAGCAACATGAAAGGAACTAAAATATGATCACCACTAAAATAAGTACATTTATGGTATTTAGACTATTTAAACCTCTTGAAAAAGAAGAGCTCGATATAAGAATAGAAACTCCATTAAATATAGCTGGAATATGAGGGTTTTTTTTTAAAACTAAATAATAGTCTATGGCTAGAAAAATTATATTTCATATTTTTCAGTTGATTTGTTCCATAAATTGAAAACCCAACCTCTTTAACAAGCAATTTAGCAACCTTGTTTGCCCTAGCCATAAATCCCAGCACTGTCTGCAGACATTCATCAGCCATCACACAACACAAAAGCATGGTCATCCAGCATACTTCACTTATTTGTCAAAATGTTGTCACATGAAGATCAAAAATAGATATTCAAAAAAAAATCTTTGTTTACTACCACGCTCCTGTAATGTATATATCTTTTCTTGGACAAGTGATGATTTTCATGAGAACATAACTTTCATCAAACTGAAGCATTTCTTTTACCAACATCACATCATAGAAAATGTGCATATTTATGAACCATATTACTTTAAAAAGAAAGCAAGAAATACAGCTTATCAAGGAAATAATTACACAAGTTGACTGAGGATACACTAATGTGGCACAAGCATTCATCGCTAGGGCCCGAGTCTCTGTTGTCAAGGAAGTCAGACTCTCAGCCTTCATGTAACTCTGAAACCAAAAATACAGAACAATCTCTCAATGAATTCAGGGCTCTAAAAATATTAACACTGAATACAAAGAAATACAGATTATGAAGTTTCATATATGTTCAAAAAATAGGAAAAGTAATTATATCAAATTCTGATATATATGACTCTCCTCTTGAAAGAGGGCATGGATCTTAATTCATTTAAACACACTTGAATCTCCTTCACCCAAGGATGTTTAGTGACAAGTTTGGTTGAATTTGGCTTAGTGGTTCTTGAGAAAAAGTCAAAAATGTTTTAAAAGTTTACTGACAAATAGCTTGACTTTTCAGCTCAGGTGAGCCAAAAGAATTTATTTAAGAAATAATGTATCATTTTTAAACATCTATCTGGATATAAATACGGGTTAGTCACGAGATCAAATTCCATAAAGCCCGAAGGGATTTTTGATAAATTTGATCTCGTACCAACCCATATTTATATCCAGATAGATGTTTAAAAATGATACATTATTACTTATATTTACATTTATGACTTATTCATATTTTATATTTTCCTGATTACAATCTTTAACGCGTGAAATGTTTTATTTTTCAAACTCAACGGCACGTTTTTGATCCATTGATTGCGTGTCAACCCTTTATGACGTCACTGAGAAATTACGTCAAAAGTTTATGATGCGAGGACCCGTGTTTATATGGATATAGATACACGTTGCTCTTAATAGTGTTATATATTAAAAGAAAACATTTGCAAATGTAAATCTTATTTAACAAAGGACCACACTGAGCGGCATTCCCCTAATAACATGTATAATTATACTCCTACATTCTGGGCACAAGTATAAACCTTGCTTGGTCAAGACCAATAAGATGTGTCAATGACTTTGACATTAAACTTTGACCTTCTGATGCCAATAACAAAGAGCTCTTGTCTCTGATCACCTCTTTATCTCTGTTGGAGACAAACAGTACTTTGTGTTCTCAAAATTGTCCACCATGTCAATGATTAAAAAGAATACTCCAGCTCTCTCTCTCTCTCTCTCTGCATTGGTCTAAAACTGTCAAAAACTGAGTCATCAACTTCCCTGGCAAGTAATTTACTGTAGATTCCTAAATATACGTGAGAAATAAATTATCGCGTAATTACGTGTGAAGCACCACTCGCGAAATAAAATTACTCGCTTTTATTTTTATGGTGCTTTAATGTATGTAAAATCTCTAAATAAATCACCCATTAGCGAATTATTTTTCTCGCTATTTGATGCCCTTTAGCCATTTCGTGATATTAAGTACTCGCGTAAAATAAGGAATCTACAGTACCTGTCTCTCCCTGGACATACACTGTAGCCTGGCAGTAAATGTTTATATACGAGGTAAAAATGTAATTGACCATACCAAAATTCTAACACTGGTCCCTAAACTCTCAGTCACATGATCTACAAATATTTACATTTCCAACTTTTTTCTCTGTGATAACTCTTTGAAAGTTAGGTGAGTTGATTTCCTGACAATTACAATTGAATGTAAATTTCGCCAAGTGAAAGGTTGAGTGCCTGATATGCATATCTATCTCTCACAGCTGTCTTTGTGTCTAGCGTCAGAGGGCGGGGACTATGGAAATTAACATGGAACTTCTCTTGTATTTTAAATCTTTTAGACAGCATTTTTAACTTTGTATTTACACTTTTATTTCAAATATAATGAAAATATAAGGAATCACTGTCTAGTTTGGGGTCAAAATAAGTACCGTACTCTGTTATGCATAAATTATCCCACGTTTCCAACTGTCGTTGATGTCCCTCGCATACCCAACAGACAGACAGTGATTCCTTAACTCACCAACATAAAACTCGGCAGACTGTCACATCCTGTACCGAGTTATTTACATATAAAAACATCTTATATATTTTTCTGTCATGATTACACATCCTGTGTTAATAGAAAGATTGTGACCAACAATTTTTCTGACAAACATCCTTTAATTACCTTACCTATTCAATTACTTCATACTTTTTAATATCAGTTAGATCTATAGTAAATAGATGTATTAATTAAAGTTTTCTCGGTTAAAAGACATCATAACAAATTACATAGGAATTTTATTACTAATCCTTACAGTAAAATATGACTGTATCATTAGTGAGCAATTTGATATATATTAATCTATATACAGTCAAACCTTGTTATCTCGAACTCAAGGGACCGAAAAAATACTTCGAGATAACCGAGGATTCGAGATATCCAGGATAAAATACTTCAAAATCACTTCGACATATCCATGGTATTCGAGATATCCATGTTCGAGATATCGAAGTTCAACTGTATATACTTTGTTATGTGTATACTGTATTTCTGATGAACTTGGCTTTGAAGCTGTTTGAAGGAAAACATCATGTATTGAAATGAAGAGATATATATGGAAGAAAAGTCAAAGATATTGGAGAGGGGAGGGTACAAAGTCACAAAAGTTTGGCTCTGTCAGATGAATTGCTATCACCATAATGTATCTCTATAAAATTTTTGATGGAAAGATTTTGAAAAGTTTTTTTGCTAAAAGCAGGAAAAGTGAAGTAACTGGTCACATGGAAGCTGCTACGTAATACTAAATAATTTAAACACAGTTAAATTGCTTGGACTTGTATGTGTATGAAGGATGATGAATATATTAATAACAGTTTCCTTGAAAAATACATAGTTAGAGCACATATCCACAATACTCGGTGAATATCTACAGATACAGTTGAACTTCGGTATCTCGAACACTTATATCTTGAATACCAAGGACATGTCGAAGTGATTTAGAAGTCCCGACCACTTATTCATCAAGTATTTTACCCCTGATATCTCGAATCCTTGGATATCTCTAAGTTTTTTCTCGGTCCCATTGAGTTCGAGATAACGAGGTTTGACTGTATTTTCTTTATAATGTTCTGATAATTCCTTTTTACTTTCTAGAGAAATTTATCTATATATACTTAAGACATAATAAAGCTGTGACATTAACAGAATGAAAATCATTAACTATAAAAAATTAACATTTCCAACAGAAATCACTTCAATTTGCCATTTTACGTCACAAAAGACATTTGGAACATCTTCATTTGGAATACATTAGATGTTATATGAATTCAGTTTCCAGTTAAATTACTAACGATAGGATTATTATGATGCTGTAATATATCACTTTTATTAGTGATTAAATTTTTATTTTTATATTTTCTTTAATATTTATATCACTTATCTAACTGTGAGATGAACTGAAACATTTCAACTTTAGCTATAGCACTGTGTTTCAAAACTGGTTACTATTACAGTCTATTAGGGATGGGTATCACTACATATTTCCTATCGCGATATATCACAATTTCCCCACAAAATATCATGATAATATCATATTTTTCACACACAATTTTTATTATGTAAATGAATTTCCATAATTTTTCATTCAATTCCACTGTAAAATCATAATTGAACTTTTTTTTCATGTTTTTATATATGAGTAAAGCGTGTTTGGATGCTAGGATGCCATGGTTTCACTGTTTTACAACCTTTTTTACACTTAAGTTCTTAAGTTTGAACAAATTAATGAATTTTTTCTTAATTTTATAATAATGTACCAAATACCAGTATTTAAGTCTCTTTATCATGATAAGTGTCACGCAATAAAACTTCCCGATATACTGGTATATGGATAAAATAGCACGTCCCCATAGTCTATTGTATTTAAGGTCCTTCATCCCTCTGTTAATTCATATAAAATTTTGCTTTTAATTAATGATCATAATTTTCTAAAAGAAATTTATACTTGTGAACAATTTCGACATACCTTCCAGTGCAAACCTTGACTGAAATCACTTTTTAATTTGCAATTTTTAGAGAACATGTCATTAATAGCAGTGAGAGTTACCTCTCTTATCAGAGGGTCAATAAACCTTAATTCTGCCAATGGGGTTTGTATACAAACACATGAACTTTAAATGCTCATTAAATCAAAACTTACTGAACCAATAGAGAATAACTGACAAATCAAGGGTAAGAGTTAATGTACATGTTTCATAATCAACAAAGATTAATAAAATTTCTCCATACTGTTAGCAAATAAGACATTTCATACAACACTAAAATAGTAATGAGTACTGGTATCTGAATCTCTAATTTGCTGTTGCTATCTTGAACTTAACAAGTTTGTGGGTAATATGCTAAATGTGCTAGAATAAAAATGCTATAGGTGCTAGGATTGCATTCTGGAGGTGGTGGAGTGATTGGGCTCGGGAGGGGGGGGGGGCAGCTGAGGTTTAAAATACCTCCATATGATTGATAAACTCCCCACGATTAGTGAAGTTGTACTGGGTTTTTAGATGATCCGGATGAAGGGCCCGGCCGATGAGATCAAGTGTTCTAATTAAATTTGTCTTGACAGCTGTATCCTATTAAAACAAAAACAAAGTCATTATCAATCATATCAGTAAAAAATTTACCTTCAAACAGAGTAGAAACTCTCGCCTCTGGTTAAAGATGAAGTTGATATTTTTAACTCGTTCTGGGTGGAATGCTTTTCCCATTAGACCTATACATTGTATGATACACTTCTTGAGATCAGTATTCTGGAGATTCTGAAAACAAATCAAATATTTGTAAAGAGTATAAAACAAGACCACATAGACAATTATACTAACTTGAGTCTCAGTGTACTTTCTAATCAATGAATACAAAGATAAATGAGACTCCTTATTGTGGCCACAATCAAAAGTATGTACCCCCTCCCTGTGTGGCAATATTAAAAAAAGGAACAACTTTAAAATTAGAATGTAATAATAGTGAAAGGAATAGGTCATCTAATAGACTAGAGGCAAACATAATACTAAGTTTTATCCCTATCAGACCCTAACATCATGGGGGGGGGGGGGGGGGGGAGGGGGGTAATTTACTTCTCAGAGGGACTACCAGTGTACTAAATTTGATGTCTGTCAAGCAAAGGGTTCTCGAGATACTGAATGATCAGGAACATCCTATGTCCAGTTTGACCTTTGACCTTGTTATCTCATAAGAAATAGGGGTCATCTGCTCCTAAAGGGGAACAAGTTTACCAAGTCCAATCTCTGTCAAGCACAGGGTTCTCAAGATATTGAGTGGTCAATATATTTCTATGTCCACTCTGACCCTTGACCTTCGATCTTGTGATTCAAAATCAATAGGGGTCATCTACTCCTTAAGGGGAACCAATGCACCAAGTTTAATGTTTGTCAAGCAAAGGGTTCTCAAGATATTGAATGGAAATGTCTTCCCATGTCTGGAGTAGTTTGACCCTTGGCCATTAACCTAAATTCAGTAGAAGTCATCTACTCTTCAGGGGGAACCAGTGTACCAAGTTTTATTTCTGTCAAGCAAAGGATTCTCATTCATTTTATGTGCTCCAAAACTTTTTTCTGTCAAATCCCTAGATGAATCATCCATGCATGTTTGGGCTTCATAGGGCTCACTGTAACATGGGAATAAACTTGGTCATTCATCCAGAAAATATAGGTCAGATCCAGAATTCAAAGCAATTCTGATAGCTTTCTTCTTTATATGAATAATATATGCAAGTTTGGTCCAGGTAGGTCTTATAGTTACTTGGAAATGGACCTTATCCAAAAACTAAGTCTGGTAGTGTGCAGCCCTAGATGCATCATCTCTGCAAGTTTGGTCATCATAGGGTTTATAGCTTCTACAGAATGAACCTGCACCAAAAACTTTCACTTGGTCACTCATCTAGGTCAGAACTAACAAGTCTTATAGCTTAATTCATTCCTACATGAATAATCCATGCAAGTTTGGTTCAGTTACATCTTCTAGTTACTTGAGAATGGATCTGCTTCAAAAACTTTAACCTGGTCACTCACCTGGAAAATGTAGGTCAGAGATCATCCAAAGCAAGTCAGTGAGTGTGAATCCCTAGATGCATCATCCATGCAAATTTGGTTCAGGTAGTATTTATAGTCACTTGGGAATGAGACCTGCTCCAAAAACTATAATCTGCTCCAAAAACCTTAACCTGCTTCAAAAACATTAACCAGGTCATTCTTATGGAAGATATTGCCTGAAAATGCAGCATCTAAACCATGATTTCATTTAACTGTATGCTTATCACATACATGTCTTATTAGATATCATTGTATAACAAATAAATCATGGTTATTTCTTGCCCAAACTTACACTGTGTTGTCTTAGTTTCAGCAGTTCAGCAGCAATCAGTGTTAGGAAATTAATACGATGAAACAATCTGATTAAAATCAGATCCTTTGATCCGCTCACATAGATCGCTACACAAGGATCTGAAGAAACCCCATTCAGGGTCATCTCCCGGTGACCTTTCAATTATCCAATCAAACGCTTGCTTGCAAGAATTTAGAAGTATCTCGGAATTCAGTTACAGAAGTGAAAGTCCCGATGATACACGAACAGAAAATTGTGACCAGGTTTCCGTAGCCTGTCAAAAAAACGACCATAGTCTTTTCTGTACAGAAATATATTTAGTACTTGCTTTTGTCTTGTTTTTTAGCTCTTTGTTTTGTTCGAAACGGTAAGATCTTCTCCACAGCTACTTTCACTTCTACATTCATTTTCCCGAATGTCGCTTACGTACGATCTCTCTGATTGGACAAAATTTTAATGAATATTTTTATTAGAAAGGTCACCAGGAGATGACCCTGAATAGGGTTTCTTCAGATCCTTGTGTAGCGATCTATGTGAGCGGATCAAAGGATCTGATTTTAATCAGATTGTACGATGAAACATACTACATGCACTATCCATGCAACTAGGATCAATATAGGGCATAGAATACTTAGAAAGAATACCACTCCAAAAACTTGAATCTGAGTCACAGACATGAATGGTGAGGGTATTACAAAAGCTCCTCAAACTTTATTGAGGTGAGCTAAATATGGGAACAATTTACAGACATACAACTAGAAAGACAGACAAATAGGCTGTAAGATGCCAGACAAATTTTGATAAGAATAGCTCACTTGAGCCTTGGTTCAGATGAACTAAAAATTCAACACATTTAATCTTTTCTAAATTAAAAATTCAGATTTTCAAAATATATCTTATCAGAAAAAAAATCCAGCTTGATGTCCTTATATAGTGTGGTAGTTGTATAAACTGTCTCCAAATAAAATGGGGTTATCAATCTTGTATTAATTAGGTTCAGATTAACAAGTCTTGAATGTATTTCATAAGTTTTCACACAACAATACTATGTCCTGGTGAATTTACATGACAATGACTTCACAGAATATAGTCAGGATAAACCCTGAGTGACTGTCTAGACAAAGATTTCACAGTTAATCAAGGTTAGGCTCCAGAAATTAGCAAGTCATTAACATTATAAAACATGGGTCTCTCCCTCAGAATTGTGTAATATGCATTATAGGGTGGGAGAGATCCAAAACAATTTCAAAACATTCTTTTGTCAAATATTTTTTTCAAATAAAACAATTGATTTTTGTGTTTGTTAAAATTATTTAAGAAAAAAAAACAACATTTTTATCCTGTCTGCATAATTTGCAGAAATGCATGAAAATGGCATAAAACATGCTAATTACAATGAAATACACCGTCACGTATCGTAGCTTTTTTTATAACTTACCTTTACGTTGACAAAGTGAGGCGTGATGCTGCGTAAGATAGTGGCCTCCATTCTGGACACAATTAAACTGACCGGGGAGAATAAAGCCACATAACCATAACACAGCATAAGAGTGGCCTTAATACGCTCTATATCCACCTCAGACTTGTCCTGAAACAAGGTCAAAGGTAACTGATCTGTAATGCCATTTTTATATCTGTGACACATACCCACGTCAGGGTTTGACACTAACTACAATTTCAAGTCAATTCAGCACTTAATTGTACAATCAATTGTTATGACATAAAACCCTTTAGTGATCATGATTTACTATATCTAAGAGAAATGTTGAACATTTTTGATACCGTTACTATCTTTTGTGTAATGTAAAGAGAAAAAGGAACAAGATCAGGAGTACAATAGTAGTTGCTGACTGCAAGATTTCGACAAATCTGTGGTTTGTTTAACAAGTTCATGAATTGAGCTTTTAGTCACCATTTTTCCATAAAACACTTCATGAAAATACTTTGTTCATTGTGATGGACTACTATAAAAACCCCTTTAGACTAAAAAAAGTCAACAGGTACTACTCTGGCTGGATAAATGCTTAGAGAAGTTAATGTTGAACCCTCATTGTAATAAAATCTAGAAACTTAACCCAAGACTCTTATACAGAAATTCATTTTTTTGTAATCTAACCAAGGACTCCTCCAAAGATATATATTATAAACTGTACTTTGCAGTGTCTAAGATTCCTTACTTTTATGAATTTGAAGAGTCCACCTGATTTCTGGACCATGTCGTTTTTGGCCACCGAGTCAAGCTTTCCTAAGACAGGGTCGAGATGGGACGCAGCACAGAAACCCATAGCAATAGCGACACCCTAAATGCAGAAAACTTTTTACAATACAGATTCTTAATCTATGATATAATTTTTACATAAGTTTTACATTTCAGATAATTATTGTATTTTCATCATGCAATTATACAAATATAGTGCTAAATAATATTTTATGTTCATCATGCAAATACTGCTAATATTTCCTGAATCCTATCTTCAAAACATTTAAACATGTCAATATTTACTATATATGCTTGCATATTTTTTTATTCAAACAGTTAATGCAAACATGTAGTTTTTCCTGTGATGCTTCAGATTTTGTTACCTCCCTTTCCACTTGGTCTGTGTGCTTGACTGTGTTAAATATTAAGTCCAAATGCTTGTTGACAAAGTCTTTCTTGGTAGATTTTCTCATAATGACACCAAGGCACTTGTACGCAAAATTCTAAAATATCATTCAATATCACTGTAGATTTTACTCATAAAATACAAGCACCTTTCCTAGCATACAAAACTTTTGCTCTAACTTTCATTGCTTATTTTCAAGTAATCATACAATTGACATAATTGTTTAACCTTCTCCTCTGGATAAGAGTTGTATAAAGGAAGCTGATTTCCAAAAGTTTCTCCCAAATCTGCAATCCAGTCCTCACTCTCCACCACATCTAAACTTTTGGATAGCAGCTGTAAAACAGATACATTTACACTGATGATCAATGTTTTCAGCTCAGACCGAGATACTGTAAAATCACATATTTTCGTGGGATAAATTTTCAAGGTTTGAGGAAAAAAATTGGATTTGTGGGGATTCAATTTCGTGGCTAAAGAATTGTTGCATAGTTATACAATATGGAATTTTTCATTTTTGGTGGACATGAGTCTTGAATAAAATGAAAATTAAACCCCCATGAAGATAAGTGATTTCACATAGTTAAGAAATGGTCAAAAATCAATAAATCTTATTGATTTAACAAAACACAAATCATTTATACAAAAACAGGATATGTTCCCTTTTGGACTACCATGCTAATGAAGCTGGGGACTACTCACAAATGGTTATATACAATTACTATAGGTAAATTTATAGCTACATAGAGACAGGTAATGGTCACTTAGTACTTTTTATACTGATCAGGAATACTTAGTGGATACTGGAGCCAATCAATCAACATCCCTGAAAGGTAACGCCCAAACCTTCTATTGTTCCTTACTACCTTTAAAGTCAAGATTTTTTTTTTCCACAAGAAAAGATTGTTAAAGTACCATTTTATTATCAATGGCTAAAGTCAATCTAATAAAAACCACTAAGTAAAGTTGAACTCAATAATGCTTTGTTTTACAGTTAAAATTCTTCTAGTGTAGTTCACCATGGTTTGGTGATAAACATTCATTTTAAAATGATCAATTCTATGGTGAATGATCTAAAACGTGCCATACTCAATATGATAGAGAACAGGACAAGCATATCTTACAAATAATTTGTGTCGAAAGTTTTCTTGCGATTATAATTTTTACCTTCAGTGCTAGATCTTCCCAATTTTTCTGTGATTATAATTTTTACCTTCAGTGCTAGATCTTCCCAATTTTTCTGTGACCAGCTGTCCTCTTTACTTGCATCTACAAAATATCATCAATATTATTTAGAATCACCATCAATTTCTGAAAATAAAAATTAAAACTCAAGCTGAAGTATTCCTGTAGGATAATTCTAGCCTAAAATTATTAAAATACATACAACTTCAATGACAGAGGATTTAGTGCATTATCCTGAAAATCTACCAACAGAATTAGGTCCATAGCTATCCAATGACAATGCTAAAATAATACGTTAACTAATGTGCATGGGAAGAGATGAGTTTCTAAGATAATCATGTACATAATCAGTACGTACATGAACATACTGGCCCCACCCTGGATGCAGAACCCCTGCCCCGAGGGTCACAGAAAAATTCATTTTCAAATTGGTAAAGGGTTTCATGTTCTTCCTAACCATGCGTTCAGTTTTCCTTCAAGATGTGCAGGAAAGATGTGCAAGAGTTAAAATGTAGAGTTTCAAAGATTATGTACATTTCAGATACACTATATGACCATTTTGGCCCAACCTCTAGAGCAAAACCTCTGCCCTGGGGTCATGAAAAACATAATTTTGGTTGGGAGCTTAATGCTCTTACTATGCATTCAAAGTTCCTTCAAAATGAGAATGGGTAGAGAAGATTTATGAAAATTTTGCTATTTTTAATAGTTTTAGCCCAGCCCCTAGGTTCCAAAGGTATCGTGAAATCACTTATTTTTGTGGAGGTATAATTATCCCATCGCAAAGGAAGGGATATAGTAACTCACTATGTGTGTGTGGGTTAGTTTGTCCTGTGTGTGAAACAGAAGTGACATAAATTGCACCAGGATCGAATGTTGCCTTGATTTATATTTACATATATTTTTGATTTATTCATCTATTGTCTGATCTTCTCATGCATATCACAATCACGTAAATAGAACTAAACGAGGGGATAATGAAATACAACATACAGTATTTTGCATTTTCAAGTGTAAATTATTATTGAGTTGTGTGCAATCGGGTTCGAAATTTTTGCCAACATCATATTTAGCTATGTAGCTTGAATTACCTAATGTATACAGTGAAGTCGCCAATTACAGGTTTACATATCCACGATTATTGTCAGTATTTTTTAAGCATGAAAATATTTACTTCTTAACAGCACTTGTCCAATCACTTTATTTAGCTTAACAATAACATACATGTAGAATGAATTACCTACGTACAGTGAAGTCGCCAATTACGGGTTGTCTCAGTTCCGATTCATTTGTAATGGTATGTATTTTATGCCATATTGTTGAAATTGAATCCCAGAAAAATTAATGAACACACTGGTCAAGAATTGATTTTTCTGTCTGTAATCAGTAACAGAATTTTGATAATCAAGATTAGTGTTTTTCTCCACTGCAGCAAGGCTGATATAACAAGATTTTGAAAATCAACATTTAATAATGTTTTTGTTCACTGTAGCAAGGCAAAAGTTTGTAGTTAAACAATAATAACTGCAAAGTATGGCACTTGCATTCAGTTACATCTCAGAAATCATTCATAATGATCACTGCTCAAATAAATTTACACTGTTTAATCAAACTGTAGCAGCGGTCCCTATATATCACGACATGGAAAATATCAAAATTCAACATGCTCAATATTCAAAACCTAGTGTCAACTTTCTTTTCACTTAGAATTATAAAACTATTCTCCAAGGAAAATATAAAAAGTAAACTTGTGTTTCCCTTGCAAAAAAAAATATATTCCCTCGCAACGAAGTTGGAGAGGATATAGTAACGATTGTGTTTGTGTGTGCGTGTGTGTAGGGGGTGGGGGGGGAGTAAGTGGGTGCGTAACAAAAGTTAAGAAAGTAATAATTCATATCAGGATCGATATGCTCTTTGCGAGGGGATGCTCCACTCTGTGGTGCCCTTGTTTTCATGGTATGAAGAGACCCACAAAATCATGTCAATCATATTGTCCCTTACGAAATGTTAGACTCCCATACTGCAGTATGATGTTTCTCCTTTATCCACAAAATCCAATCATTTTTTCCCAAACCACGAAAATTGGGCCCCACAAAAATAAGTGGTTTTACTGTACAATGATAATGAAAATCATAATTCATGTTCATCTTACATGCTTCATATCAAATCTGAATACAATTAGCCAAGTAGTACATTTATTCAAAACAAAGTTAAAAATATACTCATTTGTTAATGGACCATACATGACAGGATGAAGACTAAATAAAATAGGTCACCTGACTGACCTGAGTCACTCAAAGTAAATCTATTTATAGTAATAGATACTTTTCATTTAAACTAATACTGGGAAAGGGCACTATATACCTCTTACTAAGAAATTAATGTACCATAATTTTCAATATTAATAAGTTTAAACAATAAAATGTTTTCTTTGGTTGTTAGTATGGGAATTAATTTCGCATCTGTTGCAGAAAAAATACATAACCCGCGTAAGCGGATTATATAATCATGATGAACTTGTAAGTAAATTGATTTGTTCACTGGCTGGGCAATGGATATGCGGAACTGCATCTAAATGTATATCATTTAAAGATTTCCTAAACTTATGCTGTGTTTCGGGCTATAAATTCAAGAGAAACTCTTTTTAGACTATATACTATATTTCTCTTTTATTACTTCTCGAACAGCCTCTCTGACTATATTACCATGATCAACTCAAATATTTTTTCATATCTTTTTTAATAAAAAATATTTTATTTGTTTGACATTTAAAAGAAATTTTTCTTGACTGTTTACAAGATTTTTGTTTTCATGAAAAATGTAGATCACTGTATTTGTTTTGGAAGATACTGTTTAGTCAAAAATATCATGTCCAGGTAACGTTAAATCCAAATGTATATGGTAAGTGATAAGTTGGAACAATGATGTATAGATCTATATGTTTATTTTTGATGTGTATATTATTGGAAAATACGATGATTAAAAATTAACTAGCTTAAGTGAATAAAAAATCTAAACATATACTTATAAATATGATTAAAAAGGAAGAAAAACAAAACCTGGAACTTTGGGGGCTTGAACCGGAGTTCCCCAAACACCATTAGGCTATGCACACTATTGAAAAATTCTGCGTCTTTTGTATATATATATATATTTATATATAATATATACTTAAGGAATGTTTTTAAGTTTTGTGTGAGTTATTGGTGTGTAAATCATACAGACTTGTCACGTAAGCATATTTCATGAAGTGCGCTAGCACTTCATGAAAAATATGCCTACGTGCAAGTCTGTGTGATTTACACACCAATAATTCACACTAAACTTAAAAACATTCCTTATATTTACATTTTACATGTTTAAATGCACCAAAAATATACTCAATATTTGAATTTCTTGCTGCCCTATATCGTCATATTTTTATTAACGTCTCTGTAGCCTCATTGTGACGTCACTTTAGCGTGAGTTTCTCCATGTATATTTCTACGCATGAGTATACACAAAAATGGTTTTCAAATCAATTTCACAGTTGGTTTAGTAGAAAAACACAGCAAATATATATATATATATATATATATATATATATATATATATATATATATATATATATATATATATATATATATATAAGAAATAAGGTATCATTTTTAAACATCTATCGGGATATAATTACCGGTTGGTCACGAGATCAAATTCCATAAAGCCCTTTGGGCTTTATGGTAAATTTGATCTCGTACCAACCCGTATTTACTTATATTTATATTTTTACTTATATTACTTACTTATATTTACATTTGTGACTTATTCATATCATATATTAGCCTGACTATAACCTTTAACATGTGAAATGTTTTATTTTTTCAAAGTCAACGGCACAAGTTTGATCTATTGATTGAACGTCGACCCTTTATGACATCACTGAGAAATTACGTCAAACGTTTATGACGCGAGGAACCCGTGTTTATACGGATATAGATACGCGTTGCTTTTAATAGTGTTATATAAAAGAAAACATTTGCAAATGTAAATATATATATATATAAAGCTCCATGTTAGAGTTTTTCGAAAATTTGATAACCAAAATAATATAGTCAATTTTTAATATGAAGACCAAGTTAAACCGAAAAGATTTCAATATAACAGTATACTATGATACCAAAAGAACAAAAGGACATAACTCAATCAAGAATTCTCTGGTTTAAGTTGGTCCAAATACAAAAATCTGTATTTTTCGATGCTCACTCAATAGATCTCCATATATCCCATGCAAAATCAGTAATTTCATTGCTCTTGTCTGAGATCATTATGGTTGTTTTTGCCAGGTACTGGTATAATTTGTATTTGTTTATACCTAGATTTAATTACTATCATAAATTATTATGCTTCCTGTCAGTTTGTCTCTATATAATCAATACCCAACTATTTTCGCATAGTGTTCTAAGGATTTATATAGCGTAAGCATACTATGCCGAAATAGAGCACGGCTGTCTTTTCTAGAGAAAATGTATTTAGCACCCCCGCTGGGGATCGAACTCGCGATCTCGAGAACGTCAGTCCAACACGTTACCGATTACGCCACAAACACTGCTACTTTATGGAATGTATTTTCAAGTATATAAACGTAGTTTTTATACATTTGTCACAAAATAAGAAATAAATGAATATCATTTCTAAAAGACTGATATTATTGACAAGGATCTTAAAGAAAAATTCTCTAACAAATAGGCGAATTTATCAGTACCAAAATTGCAACGTAACATGAACTGGTACTTCGGAGTCATTAAAACGCTTTTCGATATAACGCTTGATTAAAGAATGTTCAAGAAAATTTTCATTTAGATTTAACGTCTGCAAACAGTTTTGGGATTGAGAATTTAATTAAATTGTCGTATACAAACAACAGTCAGCATAATAATTATAATAGTGTTATTATTTGGATGTACTATGCCAAAATAGTAGTCAGGGTTTGACACATAGTGCACTCGCCTCCGGCTCGTGCACCATGTGTCAAACCCTGACTACTATTTCGGCATAGTACATCCAAATACAGGTAACTCTTGACGGCTCGAACTTCGATCTCTCGAAGTTCTTGATCGCTCGAAGTGAGTCTCCGGTCCCGAATTTTTCCACTATATAACTAAGCAAATTTACTCTTGATTTCTCGAACTCTTGATCTCTTGAAACCCTTGATCCCTCGAAGTCAAAATGCAGTCCCGCTATGCATATTCTATTAGAATTTACCCTCGATACCTCGAAGTGGCTATGTGTATACAAGATTATATAATTAGCACCTTTACCTGGAATGGCCCCATGCAGGCAGAAGACGCGGGTCTCGAGGTACGGGATGTTTATTCAGATGACACTTATGCTGCAAGGTGATAATTGATTAAATTTATAATTAATCATATTTTGCCTATATGCCATTAAAATAATTATCATCGACTGTCTTACGATAATTTAGAGACGCAGTGTCATTGAAAAGTAGTAATTGATTAAAAGACAAAACACTAATTAAATTTTTATTTCGAGTCAGTGTCAAAGTTAAACGAAATATGAAAAAAAGCAGAAACAGCCTTATTGTCAATATGACGACTATTATTGGACAAATATTTACAGAACTGCATGCGTTCAATGATCATTTTTGGAATAGTCAAAGCTATGTACGACGCTGTAAAATGTCGTTTTCATGTAACGAATGTGTAGTATGATGTCCGTATTACAAAGAATAAATAAATATACATCAAATGATGATATACATTTTTTGCTTTACTCAGTTTAATGAAATATTCATCTGAATTACGAAAAAATATCGTTGTTTTATAAAAACCACATGTAAAATGTTAGCACTGCATGAAAATCATTACATCCGGTAAGACTAATTTTAAAACCTATCAACAAACCCGCAAAATTCCGGACTCTTGAAAACTTGAACTCTTGATCTCTCGAAGTTTTTCCTCGGTCCCGCGGACTTCAAGGTATCGAGAGTTACCTGTAATAACACTATTATATAAATACTGAAATATTGTGGATGTTTGTAAATGCGCTACCAGTATATTGTAGGCCATTTGGTATATACTAAGTACGCTTTACCTCTTTATTATTGGTTTCCCCAGTTAATAAGAACATATGATTTCTTTTGACACAAAAATCCAGACACATTCGTGACGACTACAAAATAGTCCTTCAACTTTTCCTAATTAACATTATACTTCAATATATTTATTCATTTATTAGTGGGTATTCCAGAAAAAAAAAACATTTCATTTCTTTCAACAAATACATGTAATTCAGACAGATTAATAACAATTGAATATCACTCCTTCCACTTTTCACTTCAATTTATTTCTTAATTTATTAGTTCTTTCATACAAGAAAAAAAAATTCTTTCAACAAGTAATCCAAACACATTCATGACAACTGTAGACTACTCCCTCCACTAACTGACATGACACTTAATTAATTTGTTAATGTTCATAGCTTACCAAAATTTGACTGGTTAGTGGAGATGTAATTTCTTGGATAACTCATATACACAAAAGATTCAATAAAGTGGTACTATGTTAAAATCTGTTCAGAGAATGTAAATGTAAATTTGTGGGTATATAAGGATAACCCGTGGAATCCACGAATATTGGTCTCGCATGAACAATGATGATTCCATGGTAACCTTTACATCAACAGTGATGTGTAATCAATGACAGTACAGTAAAAATTGATTATAAAGAATTATAATAAAGGACTGGTTTATATGGAAATCTCGATCATAAGAAATATTTTGTGAATCCTGCAAAAACTATACAAGTACTATGTTCCTTAATGATTATAAAGAATCTCAATTATAAGCAAACAAACTTTGAGGTCCCAATGTTTTCCTTATGATCAAGTTTTACTGTAAGCTAATTTAAACCTACAATCCTCAAATTCTTTTAATTAAAGGAGAAGTAGCATTTTAAAACTTTATTATTCTATTTCAGTTGCCATGGCAATACCATTCATCTAAATCTTAAGACTATTTAGCCTTGATCTAGTCTACTTGTGTAAATTTTATTAAAATCAGACCAGTTTGTGTACTAAGTTCTACTGAAATTAGATTAAAACTGTATAAGAAGCAGCATTTGGAAACAGTTTCACAGAAATTCCTATTTTAAGTAACCATGGCAACACCATTCATTGAAATTTATATCAACAGATCAGCAGTATAATGTGTCTTTGTGTAGTCTACTTGTATTGAAATCCAACAAAACCTGTAGGAGGATCATCACTTGGCAAACAAACAAACAGGGATATGACACATAACTTACATAAAAGCTCTTCTGATCTTTGACCAAACAAGTCATTTTACATCCAAAATGACAATTTTGTCCTTAAACTCCATTTATTATCTGCAAAGCATTTCTTCTACAAGTTTCAAAATGAGGTTTAAATTAGATTAGATTAAATTAGATATTAACAGTGGTGAAGGAGAAACTTCAAGAGTACTGTGCAACAATATATTCAAGAAGTGGTGTAAATCAAATGTGGATACTTAAAAATTCCAAGGAACTTTTGGAAAATTTGAAATCGCAAGATTTTACCAAAATCAACAGCTTAAAAACTTATGACTTTTCTACTTTATATACAACCATTCCCCACGATAAATTAAAGTCCAGGCTTTTTGATATAATTGACAGCTGCTTTTTCAATAAAAATGGAACTCATAAATATACTTACCTTGTCATTGGTCATTTGCAAAATTATTTTACTAAAAAACATTCTGATTGTACACACAAGTACTCTGAAGTTGACATTAAAGAGATGCTTGAGTTTCTGATTGACAATATCTATGTGGTTTTTGGAGACCAGGTCTACCAACAATCTATTGGAATTCCCATGGGTACCAATTGCGCCCTGTTATTAGCAGACCTTTTTTTGTATTCATATGAAGCAGAATTTGTCCAAAATCTTGTATGTGAAAAGAAGAAAACACTTGCTGTGGCCTTCAACTCGACATTTAGATATATCGACGATGTATTGTCAATTAACAATGGCTATTTTCATTCTTATGTCGATACGATATATCCTGGTGAGCTTGAGATAAAAGATACCACAGAGTCTGACACATCTGTTTCATATTTGGATATTTTACTTGAAAAAGACGTTAATGGTAATCTAACAACCAAGCTTTATGATAAACCTGATGACTTTAACTTTTCTATCGTCAACTTCCCTTACTTATGCAGCAATATACCTTCATCACCGGCATACGGGGTGTATATCTCTCAGTTGATTCGATACGCAAGAGCATGCTCTACGTATGAACAATTTCTAAAACGAGGTAAATTATTGACAAACAAGTTGATGAAACAAGAATATCAGCTGTCTCGTTTAAAGTCATCATTTTGTAAGTTCTATGGTCGATACAATGACCTTGACAGCAAATACAATTTATCATTGAGACAAATGCTGACTGACGTTTTTCATACTAATTGTTAGGCCATTATTTACACACTGAATTGTCGACGGATTTTTCCGTCATTTCCCGATCATGACAAGGAGCACACGGCGGGTGTGACCGGTCGGCAGGGGATGCTCACTCCTCCATGGCACCTGATCCCACCTCTGATGTTTAGAGGTCCGTGTTTGCTCTGCTCCTATTTTGTATTGTTTAATGGGCTTTTGAGCTTGAGTACTGTTCGTTTTCTCCATATATTTCATTCTGAGTCTTTTTAGTAAAATGGCGATGCCTTCCAGACAAATGAACAGATGGTCTGACAAACAAAGTTAAACATTCCTGTTCAAAGTTCTTTGCAGGTGACACAATAACAATATGATCCTAAATTTATCTTTAAGATATACTGTATGATACAGATATGAGGAAGTTTGGAGACGTACCCCCTAGATACTGATACATATTGTGGGAGGTTTGGAGACTTACCCTCTAGATACTGAGTGAGTTTAGGAATCACTGTATCCCAGAGTTCCAATAGAATATCACTAAGGTTTAGAGACTAACACTAGTACATATTGTGGGAGGTTTGGAGACTTACCCTCTAGATACTGAGTGAGTTTAGGAATCACTGTATCCAAGAGTTCCAATAGAATATCACTGAGGTTTAGAGACTAACACTGATACATATTGTGGGAGGTTTGGAGACTTACTCTCTAGATACTGAGTGAGTTTAGGAATCACTGTATCCCCGAGTTCCACTAGATTATCATTCAGGTTTGAGACTTACACTATAGATACTGATACATATTGTGGGAGGTTTGGAGACTTACCCTCTAGATACTGAGTGAGTTTAGGAATCACTGTATCCCAGAGTCCCACTAGATTATCATTCAGGTTTGGAGACTTACACTATAGTTACTGATATATATTGTGGGAGGTTTGGAGACTTACCCTCTAGATACTGAGTGAGTTTAGGAATCACTGTATCCCAGAGTTCCACTAAATTATCATTCAGGTTTGGAGACATTCCCTTCATCAGCTGCAGAACATGAATCCCTCTATCTCTGTTGTTTTTGGGACAACCAGCTAAAACCTGTATTATAAAAGATCAAACAAGTATTAGCTTTCCTAAAAAGCTTGTCTGACCTTGAGCAAATTTATTTTTACCCGAAGAATCAAGAAAAGTTAAATTCAGTGTAATCAACATGACTCTGAGTCATGAAATGGGGGGGGGGGGGGGGGGGGGTCGGGGACCGTGAGTTCAATAATTTTCGGGGATTTATACGTAGCTACTTTATGTTTGTGTTCCCTAAATCATGTAAATAATAACTTCAGATATCATAATTTTTTTTAATGCCCGTTAAGGAATTTTTCCTTGATTGTGTCCACCGAAACTGAAATTTTCTGAAATTTATTTTTTTCCAACGGGCAAAAAAAAAAAAAGGAAATAACCAGTGCTTTTGAAAGAAAAAGTTACAACACATAAAAATCTAAACATCAATTAGTGAACAATTTTGCTAATTAAGAAATGTCTTATTAAAAATAATAAACGTGTTTCAAATGAGCTAATATCTTTGCAATTAATTTAAAGCAAAAGAATATTCAACATCTATCCTTCACTTTGATATTTTTTTAAAACTATGAATAAATCAAACATCTGCTAGTTATGAATATGTGTAGATTTATAAAAATTCTAAAGATAGAGGGACATAGTGTATACATTGAAAATAAACATCCAGTAGTTTATCTGATAGTGTTGACCTCACCAACTTCATTCCTTCTATTTTGCTGGACATGAATGATGCAATTTTCGAGAAAGGTCAAATGTTATGTAACCTGTAATGTGTAATGTGATAAAAATGACATCAGATCCAATGCCCTGGCTTGTTTGGGTGTTTAGCATGTTTGCTCTTCAATTGATAGTTAAGATAATATGAAGTTTCCAAGATCAAGTTATCACAAGAATTCTACTGAACGACTTGACCAACAAGCCTTGGCTAAATCTAATACTGTCTGACGCCATGACGTCAGACAATTAGACTATGTATTCACTTCTCTGTTTCCTAAGATAGCATGTGAGAAATAAAAATAGCATGGTGTAGGGAACACATACAAACATCACCAGAGCATCTCTACTGTCACCATGCTTTTCTCAACCATTAGCTTATTTTAACACATATTAAAGAATAAAAGTCATATTTCTTAATTAGTACATAAATTATCATCCTCCCATTGTCATTGATCACTGAAGAGATCTACATCATGTACTGCTACAATTATGACAATAAATTCATGAAATATTTTAAAAAATATATTTATAAATTATACAGAAATTATACAAACCATTAATCTTGCTATCATTACATTTGGTTTGGGGGTGTTAGCTAGAAAAGAGAAAAGAAAATTTTATCTATAATTTTCTAAAACTTGACAACAAATCGTCTAGTACACGAGACTAGTGATAACTTCCTGTGCCTTAGCCCTTACCCAGAACTTCGTAGTCCAGATCGTAATCCTCTGCCTTTTCTTCTCTTTTCTTGTTGGCCAGATGAGCAAGACATTTACAAACCACACATCCTGCTTCTGTGTACTGTTCTGGCACAATCATCTCCAGTAAAAATGGCCATAGAACCTACAAGTTCAAACAAAGGATTACTGTAATGCAATTATAGTTTTATTTTGTTGAAAATTTTTTATTTCCTATTCTGTAGCACAAGATTCAATCCACTTACATAAATCTAGATAATTAAGGAAATAAAGTATTATAAACCAACTTTTATTCGTGAAAGAGAAATATTGAGTTTTGCGATCTATTTTAAATCACGAATATTGATTGCCATGAACCATTCATTTTGCTTTGTATTTATAAAGAATGTTTCCTCAGTTGCAAAAATTAATTGTTGCAGATTGATTTCAAACAAAGGAATTGCAAATAAAAGATGACCCGAATAATAGTTGGTTTACAGTATTGTACAGATACAGAAATGCAATTTATTTTTTACCAAAGATGGTGATTAAAACTCAGATATTTTTGAATTGTGGATACTTTTTTCACACAAATAATAAAAACAACAATACATGGAAATTAAGACCTGTATTTCACTCCATATCAACCCTTTGACCATATCAACCCTCCAGACCCTCAGGTTTATATTGGAGTCTTGGGTTGATATGGGGTATGATACTGATTTTGTTAACGTATTGTTCTTTATTTAATAAAAAAATTATTTTTATTCTTTTGTGCACTTGAAAACAATACATGCCATGATATCCCTTATCTGACCAACCATAGTTCAAAGCACTGGTTAAGGTTATTTATAACCATGATGTAACAGGCAACATTGAATAGAGGTTTTCATAACTGCCTTACTTTAAGGGCCTTCACCATTTTCACTTATGTAATACAGCTGGCAATATCACATAAATCTGGTGTATTTCATTTTAAAGTACATTTGTACCAAGTTTCTCTCTCTTGTCAACAATAATGAAAAGCTTGAAGTGTTTAAATAGTCTGAAAACTCCTTATGTATATAAGGGTGCCTGGGTGGACTGAGAAAATCTTACTTCTCACATAAGCATGCTTGTAATATTAAATACCTGTATAATGTGTTTCTGTTGAAGAAGGAAACTAAATGGAAAAATACGAGCAGTTAAACACATGACTAATTCTAACATGTGTCGTATTTATAAATTTAACAAGAGGTCTTCTAGCCAGAGACACCTGTCAGCTGTAAGCTGAACCCCCTTAAAGACAATCTTATGCCATCTTTAAAACCATTAGTTTTCTTTTTTTTAGAATAACCTTTAGTCTACTTAAAGTATACCTTGAGAACTATTTTTTTTATTTCATTAAAGAGAGCTTATGTATTCCTAGAGAGTTTTAGGGTGCTTATAAAAATGACTGCAAGCTAGATTTCCTCTTATCAGCTCTTAGCCACATTTAAACTATTCTGATCTTGTAAAATGTATATTGCAGTTTTAGAAAGCCTATCAAAAGCATTTTGCAACCTAATAATTCATGAATTAAAGAAAATAGTTTTTCAGTGAGGTTTTTAATAAAAAAAAATTAAGCAGTTAAGATATATATGTTTTGTTCTTTTAGCTAAAAACAGAGATACTTACAAAGTTATTGAAAAATATAAGTAAAAAAAATGTCTTCACGATTACAAAAGTAATATGATGTAGATAAGCAGAAAGGCGTTGGTAATTTTCCAATAATAATTGGGTTTGTTAATCTTACAGGAGAAGAATTTATGAATTAATATATATAAATACAATATATTTCACACTCAAGGGTATTGTTTTTCCTTTTATGGGTTAGTATTCGATAAATCAGTTCTACAATCCCTATTGGTGACTCTATTTCATAACAAGATGCTTCAAGTGATAATATAACTTACAGGTTCCATTTCTTCTACAGTGGTAGCCAAAAGTTGTAGAACATTGTCACACATCAGTCTCAATGCCTGGTTACTCACATATTCTGGATCAGGTGAACGCTTGCCCTAATTAAAAGCAAATAAAATACATGTTTTATCACTTATTTTTGCTTCAGGTGAATGTTTGCACTGATTAAAGACAAATAAAATAATATATCACACATTCTGAGACAGGTTAATGCTTGCTCTGATTTAATAAAGACAGAAATATCATTTCTTTGGTTTCAATAATCTCACAGACTAAAAAGTGGAAGAAATATTTTTTCTGCTCTTAACCTGGGTGAAACATTTACAAACTCAATTCTTTTAAATTAGGGGGTGAGGGGTTGCTTGTGTATTCATGGGTTGATGAATGGGAATGCTGCTTATGACTTACAGATGGATCATTGGGGAGAGACAACTGCTTTTGTGGTTACAAGTGGATCATTTGGGAGGGAACAATACTTTTGTACTTACAGGTGGATCACTGGGGAGAGACAACTGCTTTTGTGGTTACAAGTGGATCATTTGGGAGGGAACAATACTTTTGTATTTACAAGTGGATTATTTTGGAGGGAACACTACTTTTGTACTTACAGATGGATCATTGGGGAGGAAACACTGCTTTTGTACTTACAGGTGGAAATTTAGTGAGGGAACACTACTTATGTACTTACAGGTGGATCACTGGGGAGGGAACGCTGCTTTTGTACTTACAGATGGATTATTGGGGAGGAAACACTGCTTTTGTACTTACAGGTGGAAATTTAGTGAGGGAACACTGCTTTTGTACTTACAGGTGGATTATTGGGGAGGAAACACTGCTTTTGTACTAACAGGTGGAAAGAGCTAGGTACGTTAGTTAATGTCAACAGGCCCTGCAAAATGCTTAAAAAATAAAGTTTGTGTATCCTCACTAACCATGTATATTTATAAAGCTTATGATCCTTAGTCCTTGTATATGTAAACGTTTGGGCGGATCCAAGCTTCTTCTGCTGCTATGTAATATCCAAACCTATGCCGTATCCAGAAAACAAGCAATTTTCTTTACTTTTCACCCGGTTTTTGGGAAAATTCGATGTGGCCACAAGCATCGGCCACGAAGATATTTTAACCAGAAATACTATAGCATAAAAGGGATTGATTTATACAATTTTCGTTCTGGCCGTGGGCTGCGGCCACATTGAATTTTTACAAATTCTGATATTATCGGTCGTCTGCTATACGGATCTTGACGTGAGGGGTATGGAATATTAGCTTGGTATTTTGATTATATTCGTAGAAAATAAATAACAATCGAATACATGTTTATTTTGTAGAAATCTAAATGATAAAATGCATTATTTTAATAACTCAGTTGTTAAAAATTCGTATCCGCGACCACCCTTACTTTCGTTTTCATTCCAGGCAACCAAAACACAGGCAAATGTACACATGAAATGTCTAAATTTCAGACGGTGTGTTGTTAAAAAGACATAACTGAGATGTTATTGGGTTGTTAAATTTATAAAAAAAAGTATCTTATGATAATTTTAAGGCAAAAACCTAACGTCTCTAGGTTGTACATCGAACTCTAAATATAGACGTCCTCATTGTTTACATTGACAACGTACAGTGACGCGCCAAAAGTTTTTCCAATTTTCCAGTCTTTCGTTCGATATTTTACTGTAAACAATACGTTGTTTTATCAAACATTTGATAAAAAATAATTGAGAATTTCTCACAGTAAGAGAAAACTGTAGTCAGATGATTCATTTTAGATATAAAAAAAATCTCAAATTAACGACTTTTTATTATCGTAAAAATGCTGGAAAGTTTACATGTTTCAATGCACAGATGAATTATTTTAATATTATAGCACTTACACCCTTTCTCCAAAAGCTTAATTAGTACATACTTATACTTAGTATATTTTAAGTATGATAATCTTTCAATGAATTAAATTTATATACCATCACATAGAAACGAAAAAGAAAACATAACCATTTAATATGTTTTTATGTCTTCTCAAAAAATAATTGAAATGATAATTGAGAACAGTAGAGGCATAAGTAATTAAGTATATGTTATTCTTGTCCCTGAGAACAGTGAAATAATGTGGTTAAATTCAAAAAAGAAAAAGAAGAATGGGGAAATTACATATAACTATTTAAGTTTTCCTTAGAAAAGTTAAGATGAGAATAAATAAAATAATGTTCGACTAAAATGATATATATTATAATGAGAACTTCTGAATGGGACAGCTTCATATAATTTTATGAAATTCTAAGATACTGAAAATATTTTTTAAAGCTATTTATGGCATATCTGAGCTTGAAATTAATAATACAAGACTGAGTGTAAATATATATGATAAATGTATTTTTACGTTCGAATTAAAATTTTCACCGATTTTGAACTTAAATAACCTCACGTTTCTTTAATTAAATTGACTGTAAATTTGTCCGTTATTTAAATGTGGAGTCGGTAAATAAATCGGTTATTGCTTTAAATTTTTACTATCTTTGAAACGCGATTGATTTAAATTGTGTAATTTACAGGAAACTCCTACCTTTATATAAAGTAATAAAACAAATAGAAAGAATTTTTTTTTTTTTTTAATTTGGTTACCTGAACTTATCCAAAAATACGCCAAATATGACTTTAAATTTATTTTATATATTTATAAATTTTTTTCTAACTCAGTTATTTTTACACCCTTCCTTTTGTGACAGGAAAAACTCTCCAAAATATTTGCAAATTCATTGATTATTACTAAATCAAATAAAATTAATAATAAAAATCTTGTTGTTTGTCATTGCATTCAACACTACTATTTTAAATTTCGTGATGTCTGTTGTTCTCTCGAGTTTTCGTCAACGAACGATTTATAAGTATTGCGAGAAAATGAGTGGTGTTCCTAGGAGGTTAAATATGATGAAAAGCATGACGACAACAGCGAAATATATGAAGTTTTATGGCCCCGTTACTTGACAATTTAGAACCAATCAGATAACGCATTGTGTAGAATAATTATACTGAGGTATAATAATAAGATGTATGCATGTATGTGTGTGTGGTGATGGGGGGGGGGGTCCCACTTAGGCTATTTATAAGCTTATATATCATACTTAAAATCTCGGAAATTGGGAAGTTGAAGTACTTGGTCAGGGATCTCAAGGTACATCCCCCCCCCCCCCCCCCCCCCCCCCCCCCCCCGCGACCCTGACGTACGGACCAGGAAGATACTATATTTGTACTTTAAAAAGTGGGCTTTATATTTTAGCGGCTTTGACGCAGACAACATGAATACTGTAAATAAATCATAACTGAGTACAATGCAAGGCCCCATAATCTGTAGTGTTAATTTATGGTCACGCCATCTAGTCCATAGGAAGTCCTTGCGCTAAATTTTGTACACAAACAGTTTTGTCTTTTAATTGGATATAAAAAATATTTAGCGTTACAATATAAAGACTCAGGAGAATTCTTTTCAGATCTTAATTTCTTGTTGTTTGTCCCCAAATGATCAACAGTCAGGTTCTAAAGCTGAAACCACGAGATCTATAGGAATGAATTCAACATGACCCTGGTTGATGCGTTATTAAAAGTCATAATTGTTTAACCTTATGCTTACATAAGTAACCCGTGTTTCGAGACACTGGTAACCTTATCGCTGTGCTTTGCATCCAACTTAAGGCAACCCAACTTTATAACTTTTTGTAAAAAAAAAAAAAAAAGTCGCCATCTTTAAGCTCGCAGACAGTCCGTATGGCCCAGGATTGAAATATTACATCCTTTTTATGAAGGGTTGAAAAAATATACCTGTGTTAATATAAACCAAGTCAAAGCTTAATGAAAATTAAATATATCGTGTATGAGAGGAGTCGACCGTCTTCATTTTCTGATATTTGGGAGGGATGATAGATATGTTCAGAAAAATCACAAGTAATGCCCATGAAAACGGAACAGCGTCCAATCATTAAGTTATATGTTGATATGGTAAAAACGGCGTCAGAGACATAATTCATGATTGTTAAAATTACTGGGAATAATCGAATTATTTTTTAGCTCATTTGACAAAGCAATTCATCTCATATTTCACAAAGTTTTGGAAGAAAAGTATTGTTTGAATTCCCCATTAGACAAATGAAATTAAATTTTATAACTACTATTATTTGAATTTACATCAGCTGTTTTGCATGGCTTCGCAAGTTCCCTGTTGGTAAGTTAGGAAGATTGATTTTAATTCATTCTTTGTTAGTTGACACCTTTGTCTGTGGTCTAAAGTCAAAGATCAATTTGCAAGGTCATCGTAAACTAAAAAGAATGCTGATGGAAATTATGGAGAGCCTGACTCTGACTCAAAGATATGTAATTTAGATCCAGTCTATACGTTTTGACAAATTAAAGAAGTTAACTTTGACGTACAGTTCACAAGGAACCTTAGGGTCAGCTTTGATATTTTTTTGGTTATTTGTTATACCTGTAGCTTACTTTCATCCCCCCCTTCGTCCCTTTCTCAGCGCAATAGCGACCTAGAATATATTTTAACTTTGAACAAAACCTTGGAGTAACTCAGAATTTCAGGATTCTGAAGTCAGAATTTTAATAGATATTTCTTAAGTTGCAGACACATAGTATAGGTTTTTAAATTGGGGGGGGGGGGGGGGCAGAATCAAACTTGAAAATCCTATTTCATGGGAGGGAGGTCCAACTTCTCAACTTCTTCCACATCGATTTTTTTCATACATCACCACATAACTCTGCAACAAAAAGTGGGGGAGAGGAGCAACTAGCCCTTCAATGGACATTTTCGATAGAAAAGGTAATGTTCGAAAAAAAGGGGACAGCCCCCCCCTCCCCAATACTTCGTGCCTGAGTTATCATTACATCCTGGTGATATAATTTCTTATTATTTTTCTGTCCATTGATCTATTTTGCATGAATAATTTAATACTTTTTTAAAATTGTATAGATTAATCTCAAATAGGACGATTTTCGGTATTATAATATTATAATTTGAACCTTAGTGCAAATAGGTCAAAATTAATGCAAAAGGAAGTTATTTTTCCTCATTTACTGTTCTTGTTTGTTAATAAAAGCTTCATTTCAAGCATCTATTTGCATTCTCTATCTATTTTTTTTAAACATTCCTGAAAAAATAAATCTTTTTGTGGAGAAAAACAGTGCACATTATGCAAGCAATTTTGGCTGCAGTTATGATATTCTGGTATACATGTATCGATACTACAGAGGTCATTTATTCTTTAAAACATTCTTTTTTGTGCAATATTTTCTTGAAGTAAATAAACTATGCAATGTAAACATTTTAATATAAGATTTTTTACGTATAACATACACTGATACATTAAAGTTATTATTTAAATGTTCTTAATCAACGGCGATAATGACGTCATAGTGCTCAAAACGGTTAAATGAAATAAAATACATTCCATTTTTAGAGGGCTATTGCAACTAAACTATAAAAGATAGGTAAAAATTGTTGATATATTTACAAAGTATACATCCTCAAGTCATTTCTTTATAATTGTTTTACATTTTCAAAGAAGGGCTGATTTTCACTACTAACGTACCTGGCTCTTTAGTGAGGGAACACTACTTATGTACTTACAGGTGGATCATTGGGGAGGGAATACTGCTTTTGTATTTACAGGTGGATCATTGGGGAGGGAGTACTGCTTTTGTACTTACAGGTGGATCATTGGGGAGGGAACACTACTTTTGTACTTACAGGTGGATCATTGGGGAGGGAGTACTGCTTTTGTACTTACAGGTGGATCAATGGGGAGGGAACAGTACTTTTGTACTTACAGGTGGATCATTGGGGAGGGAGTACTACTTTTGTACTTACAGGTGGATCAATGGGGAGGGAACAATTCTTTTGTACTTACAGGTGGATCATTAGGGAGGGAGTACTGCTTTTGTACTTACAGGTGGTTCATTAGGGAGGGAGTACTGCTTTTGTACTTACAGGTGGATCATTAGGGAGGGAATACTGCTTTTTTACTTACAGGTGGATCATTGGGGAGTGAATACTTCTATTGTATTTACAGGTGGAACATTGCTTTTGTACTTATAAGTGGATCATTAGAGATGGAACACTACTTTTTGTACTTACAGGTGGATCATTGGGTAGGGAACACTGCTTCACAATAAACTCTATCATTTGATGCCCACCCTCCAGTTCCAGGTAACCATGGTGTGCCATGGCAATTATTACTTGTGCAAATATCTTCTTGAGCTGCAAAACAAAACAATTTGTTAATATGGTGTCCAATAAATAAATATCCCTTACAAAGGGATTTGAAAAATCTACTCATACGTAGTAATAAAATGTCAGCTAATCAGATCAATATACAGAACGGTAAAGATTACGGAAATCACCCCAAGCTATTAGAACATCATGCTCAGACATTTAGAGTCCTCCTACTCGTTTCCTTATGTTCTACTTTATATTTCAGGGCTCCAATTGGCGACTAATTTAGTCAACATGGTGCCTAAAATTTTTGATTAGTGCCTAAAATTCCAAATTGGTGACCATTTTATATTGCCTTGGCGCTCATCAAATTCCAAAATATAAACATTTTTAATCAATTTTTTTTTTTGAAAGAGATGAAAAAAAGTTTAAAAACTAGCAATGAACATTTCTTGTGTTTTCTTTGTCACCTTGTTTATCAGCTTTTAAAGTTGGCACCTATGAAATATTTGCCTGTTGACTAAAAATTTGCATTGGCGAGTAAATTTTTTTGATTAGGAGTCAGTTGGCGCCTTAATTTAAGAGGTCATTTTGGGGCCTGCATTCCAGTCAGCAGGAACACCTCTGCATACTTATTGCAGTTTTTGCAATTTCCATAAAGTACATACAATACAATCAAGACATACATTGGTCTAACAGTTGGCTTAACAGTATCATACAACTTTCAAAGAAAAACAAACTATGATCTTGTCTCCTGTAGACTACTTTTTGAAACTTGAATTTGGCCCCATATGATGGGCCATCAATTGACAAACATGCATAAACTTGCACCAGCATGCTTTCACAATAGTTTAACAATTACATCCTTACACATTAGTTTAACCTTTTTTTCTAAGGATTTTGAATCCCTTTTGTGGCCCTATATCCCTGCCACAACAGAACGAAAAAGACTATTTGTTTCAGCAAGCTATAAAACCTCATGTGAGCTTTGAACCAATGACTATATGTTTTGAAAACAATAACCTAAGCTGCTGAGCTATTACAACTACTGTACCTGATGAATGATTACATAGTATTTTTACTCTGTGTCTAGGGAGATGTAGACTGTACCTGATGAATGATGACAGAGTACTCTTACTCTGTGTCTAGGGAGATGTAGACTGTACCTGATGAATGATGACAGAGTATATTAACTCTGTGTCTAGGGAGATGTAGACTGTACCTGATGAATGATGACAGAGTACTCTTACTCTGTGTCTAGGGAGATGTAGACTGTACCTGATGAATGATGACAGAGTATATTAACTCTGTGTCTAGGGAGATGTAGACTGTACCTGATGAATGATGACAGAGTACTCTTACTCTGTGTCTAGGGAGATGTAGACTGTACCTGATGAACGATGACATAGTATTTTTACTCTGTGTCTAGGGAGATGTAGACTGTACCTGATGAATGATTACAGAGTACTTTTACTCTGTGTCTAGGAAGATGTAGACTGTACCTGATGAATGATTACATAGTATTTTTACTCTGTGTCTAGGGAGATGTAGACTGTACCTGATGAATGATTACATAGTATTTTTACTCTGTGTCTAGGGAGATGTAGACTGTACCTGATGAATGATGACAGAGCACTCTTACTCTGTGTCTAGGGAGATGTAGACTGTACCTGATGAATGATTACAGAGTACTTTTACTCTGTGTCTAGGGAGATGTAGACTGTACCTGATGAATGATTACATAGTATTTTTACTCTGTGTCTAGGGAGATGTAGACTGTACCTGATGAATGATTACATAGTATTTTTACTCTGTGTCTAGGGAGATGTAGACTGTACCTGATGAATGATTACAGAGTACTTTTACTCTGTGTCTAAGGAGATGTAGACTGTACCTGATGAATGATGACAGAGCACTCTTACTCTGTGTCTAGGGAGATGTAGACTGTACCTGATGAATGATGACAGAGTATATTAACTCTGTGTCTAGGGAGATGTAGACTGTACCTGATGAATGATTACATAGTATTTTTACTCTGTGTCTAGGGAGATGTAGACTGTACCTGATGAATGATTACAGAGTACTTTTACTCTGTGTCTAGGGAGATGTAGACTGTACCTGATGAATGATTACATAGTATTTTTACTCTGTGTCTAGGGAGATGTAGACTGTACCTGATGAATGATTACAGAGTACTTTTACTCTGTGTCTAGGGAGATGTAGACTGTACCTGATGAATGATTACATAGTATTTTTACTCTGTGTCTAGGGAGATGTAGACTGTACCTGATGAATGATTACAGAGTACTTTTACTCTGTGTCTAAGGAGATGTAGACTGTACCTGATGAATGATGACAGAGCACTCTTACTCTGTGTCTAGGGAGATGTAGACTGTACCTGATGAATGATGACAGAGTATATTAACTCTGTGTCTAGGGAGATGTAGACTGTACCTGATGAATGATGACAGAGTACTCTTACTCTGTGTCTAGGAAGATGTAGACTGTACCTGATGAATGATTACAGAGTACTTTTACTCTGTGTCTAAGGAGATGTAGACTGTACCTGATGAATGATGACAGAGCACTCTTACTCTGTGTCTAGGGAGATGTAGACTGTACCTGATGAATGATGACAGAGTATATTAACTCTGTGTCTAGGGAGATGTAGACTGTACCTGATGAATGATGACAGAGTACTCTTACTCTGTGTCTAGGAAGATGTAGACTGTACCTGATGAATGATGACAGAGTACTCTTACTCTGTGTCTAGGGAGATGTAGACTGTACCTGATGAATGATGACAGAGCACTCTTACTCTGTGTCTAGGGAGATGTAGACTGTACCTGATGAATGATGACAGAGTACTTTTACTCTGTGTCTAGGTAGACATAACAGAGATTTGAAACAGCATTGACAGCATAAAATTTGATATTTCTTAGTGAAATAAAATATCTTGAACCAGGAGACTTACACATGTTAGACCAACTACCAGGAGGTGTTAAAATTAGTTATTAGAGTTCAATAATTCACAAGATTCAATTTTCATTTTCAAAAGTTTAAAAAACAATAACAATCATCATAATTCCATGAACAACTATATTCAAAACAGTGCATCAATCTGTGACTAAAATATTCACATTTGCACCCAAAAAAAATTAATTTTGCGACTAGAAATTAAAACTACCTCGCATTTTCACGACGTAGAAAATTTGGGTCTGGGATTGTCCATTTTGATGATCAGGATCGAGATTACTTTTTCCCAAGATTCTCCATCAAGAAAATGTTTGTAGACAGTCCTAAAACTTTGTAAAGCACCGCAAAGACTGAGGTTACGTAATGTTGTGAAAGCATGCTGTATAGAACAGCTGCCAAATGTTGCAGACTTTTTAAAACCCAACATTGTTAAAGCAGGGATCTTCAACATTTGTATATAGGTCCCTGGTTAAATGAACATTTGGTCAATACTGCTTGCATATCATCATGTTTTGAAGATTTTAACAGCAACATCTAAAGGGGCATAGACACAGATTTGAAGTTAATATTTTCTCAATTTTCTTTATATCATGACTTATATGTTGCTATAGCATTTAACACGGAAATATAATTAAAAAAAAATTATTTTTTCTGGAAATTATATTGAAACTACGAATTTCAAGATGTGTTTGATTAACACATCCTTGCGCTTTCACAAAGTAAACTTTATCCTCAATACTTACAGAGTTTAACAAATTGAACACACTCAGTGAATCGTAAACTGTTTTTGTAAACAGGGCACAAGCTCTGTTATTGTTAATGTTTACGTTTTATCAGGTGTGTTCAATTTGTTAAACTCCGCACACATCACTGAGCAAAGACTGATAATACTGGTGAGTTGGTTTTGCTTTCTCACATTTCTACTCTGAATTTTTCTGGATTATATCTTTATTTTTTTTTTCATTAATACACAACAAAATTTCTACTTTTTTTAGGGTATTAAGGATAGAGTTTACTTTGTGAAAGTGCAAGGATGTGTCAATCAAACACATCCCGAAATAAGTAGTTTCAATAATTTCCAGATAAGATAAGATTTATATTATATTTCTGTGCGAAATATCTGTTGATGGCAACCAGAAATTTCGAAATGGCAACCAAAAAAAATTTTGGGTCGCCATTTAACGACCTGATGGTAAATTTGACTTGGAGCACTGCAAAAGAATATTGGTTAATATAAATAGAAGCCAATGTTGGTGTGATCTTCGGTTACCATGGTAACTGACCTTGTTGTTCTGTTCCCCGAGCATCATTTTAAGTCCCGAGACAACTACTTCCTGTTTATCCTCCATTGCTTCACCTACAAAAATCAAGACCTTTTTACTTCATCCTTTGTCTAAGTGACCAAATCTCATTTGAATGTTGAATTTAAAGTTTTTTAAGTAAACCATCAGATCCCTATTGCACTCTATCCCAAACTATGAGGACATGATTTGAACACAACCTTATGAACACTCTACAGAATTGCCTATATATGAATTTAACCAACTGTGTGTTTGATATTCTTCAGGGAATATCTTTAAAAAGATTTTTTTCTTTATTATATAAATTCACACTTTGAATCCTTATTAGGGTCCCATCCTGACTAGTGCAGTCCAAAATTTGAAGAAACTTGAATCAACAGGAAATGGCTTTTGAACATTATCATTTGACAAAATCTTTACAAGATTCTTAAAGATTTCACTCAATACATTCCTTTTTGAAGGACTAAGGTTTTAAGAAAATTTAATTCATTAGAAAAAAAACGCTGAATAGATTTCAAGTTGAACATTACTCAACATCACCAATGTTTACATGTTCAAGTTTTTGTAAATCATTTATATATTATCTACCTCTTGAACTGCTGATGAACATATTCCAGGTTGTTATACCTTAGTACACTATACTTAATATAATGGACATCAAACTACTGATACTCAAAGTACTGATAACTGATCATCACTCTGCAAGCAATTATAATTGTAAAGGGAGAGGAGATAAATATGACGAACCAGACAGGGATTCAAATCCAGTCAGGTGCTCTACCAACTGAGCTATCTGGCCACCAGCGATCGAACCCATCTGAAAGGCCACATTCCTCCCTCCTTAAAGGTCTTCCGCCCCCAAAAGACACCAACCCAAGCTCATCCCTTGCAGGTCTTTTACCTGTCACTTTCAGGTCATGGCACAGCACCAAATGTAATGGGAGAGGAGAAAAATATGGCAGACCAGACTTGTATTTAAACCCGAGCCCCCTGAATCTCCAGTCAGGTGCTCTACTAACTGAACTGTCTGGCCACTGCCAATTGAACCTGTTTGACCATCACACTATGGTTATCACATCAGAACTACCTACTAGCAGCATTAATGAGGTGTTTGAACCCGTCTGACAGCTACACTATGGACATCACATCAGAACTACCTTCTAGCAGCATTAATGAGGTGTTTGAACCTGTCTGACCGCCACACTATGGACATCACATCAGAACTACCTTCTAGCAGCAATAATGAGGTGTTTGAACCTATTTGATCACCACAATATCGACATCACATCAGAACTACTTACTAGTAGCATTAATGAGGTGTTTGAACCTATTTGATCACCACAATATCGACATCACATCAGAACTATCTACTAGCAGCATTAATGAGGTGTTTGAACCTGTCTGACCGCTACACTATGGTTATCACATCAGAACTACCTACTAGCAGCATTAATGAGGTGTTTGAAGATGGTCAGGATTCCAATACGGACTTTCTCGTTTCCTTGTTCTAATCTCTGTAGCAGAATTCCAGTCAGCTTCCCAGAAAAAGGCCTGGCTAAAAAATAAAAAGCAGCTCAGTTTATTTCCTTTATTCACTTAAAAAAAACATAAATCGATCCTGTGAGTCAGAATCATAGAAACAATTTTTCTGAATATAAAAGTGTAATCTTTCTAATATGTAGGAAAAAATAAAGACATTGAAAGTAATATAAATCCAATAAATATCTTTAATTATCTTAAAATTGTATGTATGCATGATTCAATTCTCAAGACAGAAGAAAATACTGCATGATGGGTGATTTTCATGATTTCTAACAAGTGCAGTATTGTGTAATATCAGTAAAATCAAAAATCAGAAAGTAAAACATCAACATACTCAAATCTCACAGAAAAAAAAAAGGTAGCATATTTCAGGACTCTCCTTAAATAATCAAGTGTCCAAAATTCATTCATTAAAAATTACCAATTATTTTAAAACATCAGGTGTGTATATAAAACATATCATCTTTTCCCTCAAAATTTGGCCAATACCTTGACTTTTTCCCCAGGAACTGAAATGTCACACTTTTTTTTCCAGGAACTGAAATGTCACACTTTCATGACGATATTGACTGCCAGCTAAATTCTTATGTCCAGTAGTGTGACATATCTGACAATCTGGCCAATGCCTGACAAATCTTTGATATTAAGACTCACATCAACAGAGCCAACAATTGTAACATATGATATGTGTATTTAGCAATTCATGTAGCAAAAGCAAATAAAATTGAAAAATAAAAAACTTTATACCTAATATTGCAAAGCACCTCAGCACTTCATTGTGGTTTTTGATACTCAGTGGATTATTGTAGTCTGGAGGGTTAAACACCTAAAAAGACATGTATTCCCGTCAATCTAAACCAATATGAGAGCTTAATTATCAAAACATTTGTTGTTATTAGATTCTCGTGACATCAGTTTTTTTTATTTGTTAATCAATTCACACTTCAAGAGGATAGTCCTTTCCTGTAAGATATCCCCCCAGGACCACATCTGCCCATCTATATAAAAATGTGGGAGGTTTCTTCCGGTTAAAGCAGCTGGGGGCATATTTTGTGAATCAACAATACTTTTCAGTGGTAAATAACAAGAATTGGTTATGATCCATGCCTGCTGTCAGATTCAGCCTTCTTTTCAGCTCAGATTTAATCATTTTAGTTTGTTAACAACATTGTTATCCTGGGGGGTTTTCACTTTTTTGAGCTGTCACAAAATTTTTTTTGTGTATAATGTGTTCATTTCTCTTTTTATGAAATATGAAGATAACAAACAATAATTAAGCTAAAAAAAACATCAAAAGACAAATTGGGAGCAGTGCAAACACAGAGCTCTATCAACATCTTGTGTACCAAATCAACTTGGAGACAAAAACTCCATTGCAGGTGATAATGGTATATTGCTACATACATAAGGGAATTTGAAGGTACAAAATTGAAGTCTTCACATTTATCTTAAAGTTAAGTTCTTCCTCTAGTAAAATATCCAAATATGAAACAGATATGTCAGACTCTGTGGTGTCTTTTATCTAAGAGTTCAAAGGGATATACTGAGAAAGCCACAGCAAGAGACTTCTTCTTTTCATGTAGAAGTTTTTGAATAAGTTCTGCTTCATATGAATACAAAAAAACATGTCTGCTAAAAATAGGGCACAATTAATACCTATGGGAATTCCAATAGATTGTTAGAGGACCTGATCTCCAAAAACTACATGCATTATTTAATTTGATGCACATTTTCTTATTAAATAATACTAAGTCATTGATCCTGCTTATCAAAGCTTGTTAACACTTGCAGGGGTAGAGGAATTACTAAAACAAGGCAGGCCTCTATGTGACCTCTAAAATTAAGGCACCAACTGGCTTCTAATCAAAAATATTTAGTCGCTAATGCAAATTTTTAGTCGCCAGGCAAATTTTTCTTAAGCGCCAATTTAAAAACTGATATTAGTTAATATATAGAGACTTGTCAATTGCTAACTTTTAAACTTCTTTCTACTCTTTATAAAAAAAAAATTGAAAATGCTTTAGTTCAGTAATTTGACGATCACCAAGTCAATTTAAAATGGTCGCCAATTTGGCAACTTATAGAAAAAAATTAGGCGCCAATCATAATTTTTAGGTGCCATGACGACTAAATTATTTGCCAATTAGAGCCCTGCATGGTATATGGTATTTCCAACACCCATGAAATGGACACATTATTGTAAATATCACTTATTTAAAGAGGGAAATTTTGAATTTTTTACCCTATAATTGGGCACCTCCCACTCCAATGGGAGGTTTGGCAGGTGTATTGTGGACTTACCATACAATACAATCACAAAAGTCAACATTGGAACATTCATATGAATGTAAAATCTTTTTTATTCTAGAAGATGACAAAATTTGATTTTTTTTTATTTGAAGTTCTAAATTCTACATTGGCACATTTGACTATAATACTTTGTGATTTACAGGTGATTAGCTCACCTGTGAAAACAGAAAAATCTCACCTGTGGAAATAAAGCTGACAATAGTCCTTCCAGTTGAGGTTCAAGAATTGTGTTCCCCTCGGTACAAACAGCATCCAGAACATTACATAATCCCTGTAATCAAATAGGGAATGTAATCAATGTAATAATGAGCATCCAGAACATTACATAATCCCTGTAATCATATACGGAGTGTAATCAACATACTATTGAGGATCCAGAACATTACATAATCCCTGTCATCAAATAGGTAATGTAATCAATGTAATTATGAGCATAGAGAACATTACATAATCCCTGTAATCAAATAGGGAATGTAATAAATGTAATAATGAGCATCCAGGACATTACATAATCCCTTTAATCAAATAGGTAATGTAATAAATGTAATAATGAGCATCCAGGACATTACATAATCCCTATGATCAAATAGGGAATATACCAACATAATAATGAGCATCCAGGACATAACATAATCCCTGTGACCAAATAGGGAATGTAATAAATGTAATAATGAGCATCCAGAACATTACATAATCCCTGTAATCAAATAGAGAATGTAATAAATGTACTGATGAGCATCCAAAACATTACATATTCCATGTAATCAAATAGGTAATGTAACCAATGTAATAATGAGCATCCAAAACATTACAATCAAATAAGGAATGTAATAGTGTAACTTGTGTAATGTTGTACTATTTTAATGTATGATACCAGAAAAAAGTCCTTTTCAATCAAAACCAGGGATGGGATAATTGAAATGAGTAATTGTAATTTACTGTATTTAGTTACATTTTTTCATAGTAATTGAAAGTATTTGTAACTGAGTTTGATTTCAATTACAATTAATTTAATGTATTTAAATATATTCAAAAATTTCATGTATTTTTCAATTACATTTCAATTACTTTATTTTTCAAGTTAAATATTAAGTGTTTTATAATGATGCAAACCAGTACTGTTTGGCATGAGCTTGTGAATATTCAATAATTAAATGCCTAATAATGTTTATACAGCATACGCACATTGCCCAGGGCAATGAGAAAGATCAAATTAAATAATATTGCTGCTTCAAAATATTCATTTATTTGTTCTTCAAAATTTTGGGAAATAAACTAAAGTATTTGATATGTATTTGATTACATTCTTCAAAGTAATTGACAGTAATTAATTGCATTTGTGAAAATCAATGTAATTGTAATTGCAAGTAATTGTCAAAATTATTGATGCATTTGAAAGTATTCAATTACATTTTCAAGTAAATGACCCCAACCCACTGGCAGATCAAAACATCTTGTTTGAAAAATTGAAACAATGCTCTTTAGACATTTTTTCATACCTTTGCGATTTTAAATGATATACAATGTTTAACGTAGAATATAAGCAAGGTGTTCAATAATACATATATATGCCTAGTGGTGAGAACAGTACTGGATGTTTTATAAAACATATAACCTCAAACAAATTGACAGCACTTAAATACCTATGTGATGTGATTGGTACAGGAGGTATTTAACATGCTTTTTCATTTAATATATTTAAGAGATGAATTTAATTTTTGAGAATTCATGAGGACATGAACTACGATGCTTTGTGTTAGCGCTTCATGATAAATATGCAGGCGTGAAGCGTTGTAGTTCATGTACCTCATGAATTCTCAAAAATTAAATTCGTATCTTATATTTACATTATTTTCTGATGACTTGTTACATATTTTTGTCATTTAACAATCATTTTTGAGAAAAAAAAGTTTGCACTATTTTTTGACTTCAGTCACATCACAATGGAAATATTCTTACTCATCCCACGGTGTTCATGAGAACATGAACTTTTTCTAATTTGCAAAGAATCTTAAGGAAAAATATTTGGAAATGTAAATATATCTCTGTGAACTGATTGGTCCTGGGTGTTTGATTGGTACCGAGTGCTGCATTAGATAAACTGGTGTGTGTATTGGTAAAAGATACATATAAACATCACTACCAGTGTGATATGAAATGGTTCGGGATGTTTGATTGGTATAGAGTGCTGCATTAGATAAACTGGCACGTGTATTGGTAGACGATACGTATATTCATCAGTACCTGTGTGATATGAAATGGTTCGGGATGTTTGATTGGTACAGAGTGCTGCATTAGATAAACTGGCATGTGTATTGTTAAACGATACATATATTCATCAGTACCTGTGTGATATGAAATGGTTCGGGATGTTTGATTGGTACAGAGTGCTGCATTAGATAAACTGGTATGTGTATTGGTAAACGATACGTATATTCATCAGTACCTGTGTGATATGAAATGGTTCGGGATGTTTGATTGGTACAGAGTGCTGCATTAGATAAACTAGCATGTGTATTGGTAAACGATACGTATATTCATCAGTACCTGTGTGATATGAAATGGTTCGGGATGTTTGATTGGTACAGAGTGCTGCATTAGATAAACTAGCATGTGTATTGGTAAACGATACGTATATTCATCAGTACCTGTGTGATATGAAATGGTTCGGGATGTTTGATTGGTACAGAGTGCTGCATTAGATAAACTAGCATGTGTATTGGTAAACGATACATATATTCATCAGTACCTGTGTGATATGAAATGGTTCGGGATGTTTTCTGTACAATCCAAGAATTCCCTGCAGCACCCTCGGTAACACTTCCTCTAACTTTTCCTTGGCCATTAGGTGTGTCATGTGACCCATAGCTTCTACGATGGTCAGACGCAACTAAAATCAAACAGACAATGAATTGAAAATATCATAAAATAGCTTAATGTTCTAGAAACAATTTAATATCACTTAGGGGTATCAAGGAGTACTTGATTAGTACATTTAATTGTCCACTAAATTTATCTTATTTGATTATTCACAATAAAGCTTTTCTTTTCACAGAAAAATTCAGAAATAAATCATACATTCCAAAAATAGGATCTGCCTTTAATTTAATCCTCTTTAGCTTAATTAAGTCAATTATAATCTAAGTAAGACCTCTCTTAGGCCTAAAAAAATTAACAACTTGGTTCTCATGACAGTTTTGTCAAAAATAAATGTGTGAGGGAGGCTTTTTTTTCTTTTTACCTCATGAGTAACAGATGCAGGATTTTTTCTTTTTTAGATTTCAAAACTAGCAACTTTTTATCAACAGTACTTCAACACTGAGTGCAGAAATCAAGATTATTTATTCCCTGCTTTTCTTTCTCTTTTCTCTTGCATTTTCTACATTCGTGTAATGAAACAACGGCATCGTAACAACCAGACATGTCTTAAACTTACAGAAACCGACACTTTTAGTGATGCATCTGGTCAATTGCTTACATATCACAACTTATCTAAGAGCAGTATTTCAGCAGTATTAGAAGCATTTATGATTTTATTAAACATTGTCAAATTCATCAGTCTTTAGTTTACCCACATGAAACAAAATCAGCAAATCTTGCTGAAGCTTTTCTAGAAACATCCAAGTTCCGAAGTTGAGAGAGCCATCTTTGATAGCGTTATAGAGTTCTTGCATGGAACAACCTTCAGAAACCCTCACTATGTGCCATGGAAGTATTACAGTCATTCCTTTACAAATTTGAACTGAAATCAATGCCATCATCAGATGGCCATATTTGCTATTTTTAATTAGGCCACTAGTCTGTATCATCTTGATGTTTGTCAAACATTTTACTGATGAGAGTATCTAAAATGTGGTCGGAGATTCCGAGTTATTTTTTTGCACCGTACAAGCACATGAGATGCAGGTGGGCCTGAGAACCAAGTTATTAATTTTTTTAAGGCCTTAAGGTCAAGATCTAGTAAATGACTTTAGAATAAATTTTTAGTGCTAGATCCATTATGACGTCATAATCAATTTTAACTTTATTTTTCCCGTACTTTACGGCTCTAGTAGAATTTTGTAGAAAATAAAGTACTTTCATGGAATTCAATTTGAAATCATGTGAAAAGTAATCCCGAAACCTATATTTAATTTAATATTATTTTAAAGAAGAGGCCAAGAACATATAAATTATCGTTTTCTGAGAGACTGTAGGCAATCTGGATGCATTTCTTTGTCTGATATGGGAAAAAACTCCCATATTCATGACTGGTTTTCTTAATTTTTCATTGAAAATGACAGTTCAAAATGTGATTTTTCGTCTTGTTCATCTAAAAATTATGCCCCGAAACACCTTATTTGACCAAGCTAAAGTTATAAAGCACCATTAAAGGAATTTATTTCTTAAATTTGAGAAATCTGTAGGCACCTTTCATTTACTAGATCTTGACCTTAATTCTGGTATATTTTGTAGAGTATCAGTAGCATCAGAGAATTACAGCTATCTCTTGTGAGTGGAATGATCTGTCAAACATTTGACAAATGTAATACATATATAAATCGTGTGTAATACATTGTATAACAGAAATGAATTCCTTCAAGTTTGTTTTGAAGGCATACATTTTAAAAGTACCAAATGCATCTAAATAAAATTTTCATTTAAAATGGTCCAGATGGCAGTTTAAAAATAACAATGAAATGTGGCAGAAAATGTGAATTATATAGATATTTTGCAACATTAAAGATCACTAGCAATAATATAAGGCATATCATTCTGAAAGTAAAAAATATCTAATGTTCAGTATGTACTGAAGCCATACATTCTGCAAGAATAAATATCTTGAAGCATTTTTTATCCAATGAGGAGTTGTAATTTGCTTCATAAGTGACCTTTAATTCCTAGACAATCACATAGCAATATAAAGCAGAAAAAAAAACTACATATGAGAGTGATCAGATATAATTCTAAACATTCATTCTCCAATGCAGTCAGAAATACAAATGAACACAGTCTTTCTTGAGTCCTTACCTTTGGATGTGCCCCAAAAATCTACAGATAATTCACAATGTCAGCCTTATATTACACTTTGTGACTGCGTCAGTGATTTTCTTTCAATGTTGGGTTTTTGGTCATGAAATTTATATATCAAAACCAGTGTCTATATCTATTAAGTAGGCTCGATACATGTATAAGGTATGCAGTTGTGCTGATATTCATCAGGAAACAATCTTAAATAATTATAAAATCTACTTGGTTAGTACTACTTCATGAAAATCTTTTTTAAATGCACAATAGTATTAACATCAACTTTCTGATTTCTCATTTATAAGAGTATAAATAATTCAAATACAAAACCAAGTCTCTGACAAGACTGTAGCTCTACTGGCTACTTAAAATTATTATAATCTGCACCTGGACTTGAAACTCTTATTTCAGCTTCACACTAACAGAATTAATGCAACACCATTCATCGATTTAAAAAAATAGTAACTAATTTTGTCAAAGTGTGAGCTTCAACAATTTCTTAATTACAAAGTTATGGAGAGAAAAAAAGAATAATTTTACACTACAAATTCCTGCAATCTTGACCTTATCCAATTAATCTTGATAAAGCTCTTGTAACATCTTCTGATAATGACATGCCTTGCGATAATGATCTTTTTAAAACTGCTCCTCATTATCATTATGGACTTTTGAGAATAGCTTCAAACAGGATTAGCCTGGTAACCAATCCCATTCACTGTTTATTTATATTCAGAATAAAATTTGGTAATTTTAAATAAAAATGCAAACATGTAAAAATGAATGCTTTCACTCCCTGTGACCTTGACCAAAAGATGTTAGCCTGTCACATTCAAGATAAACACTCACAAGCTACTTTACTCTTAAGTATGATAATCACATCAAAAGTTATGATGAAGTTTATTTTTGTAGAAAGCATTGAGAAAGTTACATGTAATTATAACCTTAAAGTTCCCCTCACCCTAACTGAACAGTACTACAACCCTAATCAGACCCTTCCCTCTCGCGCACTGCTCCAAGACTCTTATCAGAGTGCTTTCTTCAACCTTGACTGAACAGTACTACAACCCTAATCAGAACCTTCCCTCTCACACACTGCTCTAAGACTCTTATCACAGTGCTTCCTTCATCACTGACTGAACTGTACTACAACCCTAATCAGACCCTTACCGCTACCACACTGCTCTAAGACTCTTATCACAGTGCTTCCTTCATCCCTGACTGAACAGTACTACAACCCTAATCAACCCTTCCCACTCACACACTGCTCTAAGACTCTAATCAGAGTGCCTATCCCTCACCCTACACTAACCTTTGCCTCTTTGGACTGTAGCCATGTAGAGAATAGAACATCAAATGCGGAACCAATCTCCTGGGAGAAGCGGTCCTTGGTGATGGTTTGATCTGGGGCTTTGTCAATGTTGGCGCAGTATTCAATAATGGCCTCACTGAATTTGGACAATGCTGCAATGTATAAACTGGAAATCAGAATGCCACTGGTGGTAGCTGAATATTCACTCTCCTAAATAATGACTGGACCAGGTGTAAATTCATATGTATAAAACTGTCTGCCCATCAAAACTTTTTGAAATTTGAAAACACAGACAGGTATGTGATCAAATATACACAGAGGCTCATAATTTTCTTATATGTGCGCTTTGGATGTTAGTTAATCTTCAACAATCCTTATAAAATGTGCATAACAAAATCATAAAATAAACATGACAGTGCAAAACAAAATCATAAAATAAACAAGACAGTGCAGCATCAGAACTGGGTGAGTTTTACGGTTCCTCTGTCTATAAATAGCAACAACAGCAGCCTACCTGATGAGAAGACCCACTTCATGTTGTCATGCTTGACCATCCCCAGCATTGGGAGGGTGGTACTTAGAACAGCAGTCAGGTGAGGCACCATTCTGTAGACTGTTCAGATATAACTCAATCAATGGTAGAAATAACAAAGAACACATGTACTAAAACAAGAGAGGCAAAATCAAAACATAAAATTTTATACCTTGAAGCAAAACTTTATTTGGAATCAGTTTCATGCCATTAAGAATCTAATTACAAATTATTTGTATCATCTTAGTACCAGCTATACAAGTCTACCATCAGCTTGAATAATCAATTGTTATCACCAAGCAAACTGTCATATACCAAAAGGTTTGTTGGCAATAGTTACCATTTGCTTGAGCTAGGTTGCCAATAGTCCGAACAACAAAATAATGTGGCAATGTGCCGGGCTGAAATCTCTCAAACATTTCAGCCATCACTTCATCACAGTACTGGGCACCGAGCGCCACCAAGAGGCCGCTTGCTGCATTCTGCCACTCAGGTACCACTTCCTGTAACAATGGGAAATTTATCATAACTTTACATTTTTTAATCAAAGCTTCCAGTTTTAAATTGAAAACCAATTTAATTTTTTTTATTTAGTTTGTTTTAATGTTGAGGTAAATCTCCTATTATATACACAATATAATATTGTACGAGGTTACTGAAGCTAACTTCACGGCCTCAGGTGAAATTTGTTAATACATTTGTAATTTATGGAAACAAACTGTAATTACTCCACTACAAGGCAGACAGAGCATTGTTTTCATCCAAGCAAAAAAAATTATAATTTATATATTTGTAATTCATATAAACAGTAATATGTTGAATTCAATGGGACTGACATAAAGTATCCACGTGTCTGAGACTGGAGAAAGTTAAAACTCAAACTGAAATTTAAACCAACAATCCCCATCAACCTATTCCTGCTTTTCCTAATTTTTGTATCTGAGGTACCAAAGTTAATGTGTACCTTTATCTAACCGACTTTTCCAAAGCCGATTTTTAAAAATCAAAATATCTTTCAAAATAGCTTTCTATATGCAGAATAAACTGTTGGTAACCTAAGAATCAAACACCCCTGCTGAGTTTTGCTATTGTAAGTGTTGATTATTAGGAAAGAGAAGATGTGGTGATAATTAGTACTGGTGCTGTAATATTTTTAACATATTAACTTAAGAGTATATAATTGAAAGCTAAAAGCCTTAATTGAGATGTTTATTGTTAGTTTCTTCATTATTTTATGTTTGATTTCTTTGATCATGCTTTTACAAACCTTTGAACATGTCATTTCCTGAGCCCCAAGCTTAATAAGATCAGTGGCTAGTCCAGTGTCTATCTGATCCAGGGTTTCTTTTACGATCCTTTCCATACACTGCAGCAAGATCACTCGATGTTCTTGAGCTAGCTATAAAACCATAAAGAAGGGATGTAGCAATAGACACTAAGACTGTATCATAAATGTAAATTGTGATACACTAAGACTGTATCATACATGTATATTGTGATACACTAAGACTGTATCATATATGTATATTGTGATACACTAAGACTGTATCATATATGTATATTGTGATACACTAAGACTGTATCATATATGTATATTGTGTTACACTTAGACTGTATCATATATGTATATTGTGATACACTAAGACTGTATCATATATGTATATTGTGATACACTAAGACTGTATCATACATGTATATTGTGATACACTAAGACTGTATCATACATGTATATTGTGATACACTAAGACTGTATCATATATGTATATTGTGATACACTAAGACTGTATCATAAATGTATATTGTGATACACTAAGACTGGATCATACATGTATATTGTGTTACACTTAGACTGTATCATACATGTATATTGTGATACACTAAGACTGGATCATACATGTATATCGTGATACACTTAGACTGTATCATATATGTATATTGTGATACATTAAGACTGTATCATACATGAATATTGTGATACATTAAGACTGTATCATTTATGTATATTGTGATACACTTAGACTGTATCATACATTTATATTATGATACACTTAGACTGTATCATACATGTATATTGTGTTACACTTAGACTGTATCATACATGTATGTTGTGATACACTAAGACTGTATCATACATGTATGTTGTGATACACTAAGACTGTATCATATATGTATATTGTGATACACTTAGACTGAATCATAAATGTATATTGTGATACACTAAGACTGTATCATATATGTATATTGTGATACACTAAGACTGTATCATACATGTATATTGTGATACATTAAGACTGTATCATACATGTATATTGTGATACACTAAGACTGTATCATATATGTATATTGTGATACACTTAGACTGTATCATATATGTATATTGTGATACATTAAGACTGTATCATACATGTATATTGTGATACACTAAGACTGTATCATAAATATATACTGTGATACCTTAAGACTGTATCATACATGTATATTGTGATACACTAAGACTGTATCATAAATGTATATTGTGATACATTAAGACTGTATCATACATGTATATTGTGATACACTAAGACTGTATCATATATGTATGTTGTGATACACTAAGACTGTAGCATATATGTATATTGTGATACACTTAGACTGTATCATACATTTATATTATGATACACTTAAATTGTATCATACATGTATATTGTGTTACACTTAGACTGTATCATATATGTATATTGTGATACACTTAGACTGAATCATAAATGTATATTGTGATACACTAAGACTGTATCATATATGTATATTGTGATACACTAAGACTGTATCATACATGTATATTGTGATACATTAAGACTGTATCATATGTGTATATTGTGATACACTAAGACTGTATCTTACATGTATATTGTGATACACTAAGACTGTATCATATATGTATATTGTGATACACTTAGACTGTATCATAAATGTATATTGTGATACATTAAGACTGTATCATACATGTATATTGTGATACACTAAGACTGTATCATATATGTATGTTGTGATACACTAAGACTGTAGCATATATGTATATTGTGATACACTAAGACTGTATCATACGTTTATATTATGATACACTTAGACTGTATCATACATGTATATTGTGTTACACTTAGACTGTATCATACATGTATGTTGTGATACACTAAGACTGTATCATACATGTATGTTGTGATACACTAAGACTGTATCATATATGTATATTGTGATACACTTAGACTGAATCATAAATGTATATTGTGATACACTAAGACTGTATCATATATGTATATTGTGATACACTAAGACTGTATCATACATGTATATTGTGATACATTAAGACTGTATCATACATGTATATTGTGATACACTAAGACTGTATCATATATGTATATTGTGATACACTTAGACTGTATCATATATGTATATTGTGATACATTAAGACTGTATCATACATGTATATTGTGATACACTAAGACTGTATCATAAATATATACTGTGATACATTAAGACTGTATCATACATGTATATTGTGATACACTAAGACTGTATCATAAATGTATATTGTGATACATTAAGACTGTATCATACATGTATATTGTGATACACTAAGACTGTATCATATATGTATATTGTGATACACTAAGACTGTATCATATATGTATGTTGTGATACACTAAGACTGTAGCATATATGTATATTGTGATACACTTAGACTGTATCATACATTTATATTATGATACACTTAAATTGTATCATACATGTATATTGTGTTACACTTAGACTGTATCATATATGTATATTGTGATACACTTAGACTGAATCATATATGTATATTGTGATACACTAAGACTGTATCATACATGTATATTGTGATACATTAAGACTGTATCATATGTGTATATTGTGATACACTAAGACTGTATCTTACATGTATATTGTGATACACTAAGACTGTATCATATATGTATATTGTGATACACTTAGACTGTATCATAAATGTATATTGTGATACATTAAGACTGTATCATACATGTATATTGTGATACACTAAGACTGTATCATATATGTATGTTGTGATACACTAAGACTGTAGCATATATGTATATTGTGATACACTAAGACTGTATCATATGTTTATATTATGATACACTTAGACTGTATCATACATGTATGTTGTGTTACACTTAGACTGTATCATACATGTATGTTGTGATACACTAAGACTGTATCATACATGTATGTTGTGATACACTAAGACTGTATCATATATGTATATTGTGATACACTTAGACTGAATCATAAATGTATATTGTGATACACTAAGACTGTATCATATATGTATATTGTGATACACTAAGACTGTATCATACATGTATATTGTGATACATTAAGACTGTATCATACATGTATATTGTGATACACTAAGACTGTATCATATATGTATATTGTGATACACTTAGACTGTATCATATATGTATATTGTGATACATTAAGACTGTATCATACATGTATATTGTGATACACTAAGACTGTATCATAAATATATACTGTGATACCTTAAGACTGTATCATACATGTATATTGTGATACACTAAGACTGTATCATAAATGTATATTGTGATACATTAAGACTGTATCATACATGTATATTGTGATACACTAAGACTGTATCATATATGTATGTTGTGATACACTAAGACTGTAGCATATATGTATATTGTGATACACTTAGACTGTATCATACATTTATATTATGATACACTTAAATTGTATCATACATGTATATTGTGTTACACTTAGACTGTATCATATATGTATATTGTGATACATTAAGACTGAATCATAAATGTATATTGTGATACACTAAGACTGTATCATACATGTATATTGTGATACACTAAGACTGTATCATACATGTATATTGTGATACATTAAGACTGTATCATATATGTATATTGTGATACACTAAGACTGTATCTTACATGTATATTGTGATACACTAAGACTGTATCATATATGTATATTGTGATACACTTAGACTGTATCATAAATGTATATTGTGATACATTAAGACTGTATCATATATGTATATTGTGATACACTAAGACTGTATCATATATGTATGTTGTGATACACTAAGACTGTAGCATATATGTATATTGTGATACACTTAGACTGTATCATACATTTATATTATGATACACTTAGACTGTATCATACATGTATATTGTGTTACACTTAGACTGTATCATAAATGTATATTGTGATACACTAACTAAGACTGTATCATACATGTATGTTGTGATACACTTAGACTGTATCATACATGTATATTGTGATACACTTAGACTGAATCATAAATGTATATTGTGATACACTAAGACTGTATCATACATGTATATTGTGATACACTAAGACTGTATCATACATGTATATTGTGATACATTTAGACTGTATCATGACAATATCATGATATATCAACTTCTATAATTCTCTATGTAAACTGTGTCTCCCTCTTCTAAAATGGAAAACTATCAAGTCCATCTGCCTGCATTCTTTCAAAATTCTATTCTTCCAACAGTTTGGATAAGATGTCAATTAAACTTCATTCCATACATGTTTACTCTACCACTTTTTTCATCTCCCACCTACCACTTTTATTTAAAAATTCATCACTTTTCTAGAAAAACCATTCATGGTTCACTTCAGTACCCATTCTGGAAGCCATTTGGTTATAAAATCTCACTGGTTTTTAAGATATTGTGATCTGAACTGAGAGCATAAACATTTCTTTAGGTACTGATGTTTAGATGGATTTCTAGTACACGTTTGTTTGTTTGTTGGTAAAATTGAATTGCACACCTGAAATTATGATTGCGAAATATTCGTATGTACCATTTTAAATATTTTTTAATAAAAGATTTAATATCATAAAAAAAAAATTCAGAAGAATGATTCTTGACTCTGTTATAACTCCTCTGTTAATGAAATTAATTGTTTCCCAAGAATACAGTTGTTTTGTCGAGGCACATGCCACTATGTAAACACAGTGTCAGGTAAGCAATGCAGGTATTGGAGACAATAGTTGAAAACTTGATCATGATAATTGACAATAACAGATCAAGTGCAGTTTTATAAATCATAAACAACAGATATGTCTTGGACATTGTAATTATAATATTTTGGTGTCTTTCTCAGAATGTTAGCATTGACTTGATATTGTCAACTCATTCTGACAGAAAGGTGTACCAACTAATAGGTCCGTGGCAAATCCCTCCAAACTAAGCTAACAAAAATACAACTGACTTATAGGTGGACTGACTTTAGACAAGTATATACTGTATGTTGCCATACTTTTGTGTGATTTTTTTTTAATTTATGTAGCCATAACTTGCTGTGTTTTTTTTTTAATTTACGTAGTCATACCTTGGTGTGTTATCTTTTAAATTTATGTAATCATACCTTGGTGTGTGTTTTTTTTAAATTTATGTAATCATACCTTGGTATGTGTTTTTTTTTTTAGATTTATGTAGTCATACCTTGGTGTGTTTTTTTTTTTTAATTTATGTAGTCATACCTTGGTGTTGTTTTTTTTTTTAATTTATGTAGTCATACCTTGGTGTGTTTTTTTTTCTTTAATTTATGTAGTCATACCTTGGTGTGTGTTTTTTTTTTTTTTAATTTATGTAGTCATACCTTGGTGTGTTTTTTTTTCTTTAATCTATGTAGTCATACCTTGGTGGTTTTTTTTTTAAATTTATGTAATCATACCTTGGTATGTGGTTTTTTTTTTAAATTTATGTAATCATACCTTGGTGTGTTTTTTTTTTTTTAATTTATGTAGCCATACCTTGGTGTGTGTGGGTTTTTTTTTAATTTATGAAGTCATACCTTGGTGTGTGTTTTTTTTTATTATGGAGTCATACCTTGGTGTGTTTTTGTTTATGTAGTCATACCTTGGTGTGTGTTTTTTTAATTTATGTAGTCATACCTTGGTGTGTGGTTTTTTTTTATTTCTGTAAGCATACCTTGGTGTGTTTTTCTTTAATTTATGTAGTCATACCTTGGTGTGTGTGTTTTTTTTCTTTAATTTATGCAGTCATACCTTGGTGTGTTTTTTCTTTAATTTATGTAGTCATACCTTGGTGTGTTTTTTTCTTTAATTTATGTAGTCATACCTTGGTGTGTTTTTTTTTAATTTATGTAGTCATACCTTGCTGTGTTTTTTTTTTTCTTTAATTTATGTAGTCATACCTTGGTGTGTTTTTTTTCTTTAATTTATGTAGTCATACCTTGGTGTGTGTGTGGGTTTTTTTTTAATTTAAGCAGTCATACCTTGGTGTGTTTTTTTCTTTAATTTATGTAGTCATACCTTGGTGTGTATGGTTTTTTTTTAAATAAGGCAGTCATACCTTGGTGTGTTTTTATTGATGTAGTCATACCTTGGTGTGTGTGTTTTTTTTTAATTTATGCAGTCATACCTTGGTGTGTTTTTTTCTTTTATTTATGTAGTCATACCTTGGTGTGTTTTTTTTCTTTAATTTATGTAGTCGTACCTTCGTGTGTGTTTTTTTTTAATTTATGTAGTCATACCTTTGTGTGTTTTTTTTTTTAAATTTATGCAGTCCTACCTTGGTGTGTTTTTTTCTTTAATTTATTTAGTCATACCTTGGTGTGTATGGGTTTTTTTTAAATTATGCAGTCATACCTTGGTGTGTTTTTATTGATGTAGTCATATCTTGGTGTGTGTGGGTTTTTTTAATTTATGCAGTCATACCTTGGTGTGTTTTTCTTTAATTTATGTAGTCATACCTTGGTGTGTGTGTTTTTTTTCTTTAATTTATGCAGTCATACCTTGGTGTGTTTTTTCTTTAATTTATGTAGTCATACCTTGGTGTGTTTTTTTCTTTAATTTATGTAGTCATACCTTGGTGTGTTTTTTTTTAATTTATGTAGTCATATCTTGCTGTGTTTTTTTTCTTTAATTTATGTAGTCATACCTTGGTGTGTGTGGTTTTTTTTTTTTAATTTAAGCAGTCATACCTTGGTGTGTTTTTTTCTTTAATTTATGTAGTCATACCTTGGTGTGTATGGGTTTTTTTTAAATTATGCAGTCATACCTTGGTGTGTTTTTATTGATGTAGTCATACCTTGGTGTGTGTGTTTTTTTTTTAATTTATGCAGTCATACCTTGGTGTGTGTTTTTCTTTTATTTATGTAGTCATACCTTGGTGTGTTTTTTTTTCTTTAATTTATGTAGTCATACCTTCGTGTGTTTTTTTTTTTAATTTATGTAGTCATACCTTTGTGTGTTTTTTTTTTTTTTTTATTTATGCAGTCCTACCTTGGTGTGTTTTTTTCTTTAATTTATGTAGTCATACCTTGGTGTGTATGGTTTTTTTAAAATTATGCCGTCATACCTTGGTGTGTTTTTATTGATGTAGTCATACCTTGGTGTGTGTGTTTTTTTTTAACTTATGCAGTCATACCTTGGTGTGTTTTTTTCTTTTATTTATGTAGTCATACCTTGGTGTGTTTTTTTCTTTAATTTATGTAGTCATACCTTGGTGTGTTTTTTTTTCTTTAAGGAGATGAAGGACACATGGTCACATGACTGTTTAACTACGTCATAGTCTCTGTTTATATAAGTGCAAAACATGTAAACCATAAGTTCTTGTATAAATTTTTGACAATTTGTTTTTACTTTAATTACCAACCTATATAGAAAAATAAAAAAAAAATAACAAATTATGAAATAGATTGATCCACTCCTCCATTTCTCTACACTGCGCGTCCAACACATCGGTGACGTCATACACGATCTGTTAGTACAGCAAGATCATACTCGGTGAATATAGGGGCGGTATTATTATGTAAAAATAGGTCATAATCAGTATATGTTGAAATATTTTGATAAACGGGGAACACAAAAATTATGTTTGCATGGCTGATGGCAGAAATCTTATGTAGGTATATCTTATTTCGCTTATTTAGCTTACGTGTGACGTCATAGTTGGTTTTTCCCGTACTCGAAAAATGCAAACATGACACCTTTTTGTCCTGCTTATGCCCTCTTTTATGAAGTCCTGTGCAATATTTAGATCGGCTTCACCATTCGAAATTTTTACAGTTAATCAATAATTAGAAGGACTTGCATTTCAATGTAAATTTAATAATACTGAATGATAGAATTTTTTGCAAATTTATTTTTTTGTTGTTTAAGTTGTCTTAAAAAGTACGTAATTTTCCCTATCCAGATGCAGTGAGACAGAAGAAATTTGCTTTTTCGAATTTTAAACCCTATCCATACACTGAGATATTTTAAAAGATACATGTCCCCTTAAATATTTTTTATAAATGCTTAAAAAATCCAATTGTGGACGGCGTAATGGACCCGAAAACATGGAGAATTAAAACTCCACTTAGATACTGTAAGGCATAGTATTTGTCAATCAATATCTCTAAAATAAGGTAAGAAACCTAATAATTTAACTGCTTTAAGATATGTGGGACATACTTAATTAGAAAAATAAAAAATATGAAAAAAATTGAATGACAGGATTTTTTTTAGCCCAAGGTCCTTCACCTCCTTAATTTATGTAGTCATACCTTTGTGTGTGTGGGTTTTTTTTAATTTATGCAGTCATACCTTGGTGTGTTTTTTTCTTTAATTTATGTAGTCATACCTTGGTGTGTTTTTTTTTTCTTTAATTTATGTAGTCATACCTTGGTGTGTTTTTTTTCTTTAATTTATGTAGTCATACCTTGGTGTGTGTGTTTTTTTTTTTTTTAATTTATGCAGTCATACCTTGGTGTGTTTTTTTCTTTAATTTATGTAGTCATACCTTGGTGTGTGTGTGTTTTTTTTAATTTATGCAGTCATACCTTGGTGTGTTTTTTTCTTTAATTTATGTAGTCATACCTTTGTGTGTTTTTTTTTTTTAAATTTATGCAGTCCTACCTTGGTGTGTTTTTTTTTTTAATTTATGCAGTCATACCTTGGTGTGTTTTTTTCTTTAATTTATGTAGTCATACCTTTGTGTGTTTTTTTTTTTTTTAATTTATGCAGTCCTACCTTGGTGTGTTTTTTTCTTTAATTTATTTAGTCATACCTTGGTGTGTGTGGGTTTTTTTTTTAAATTATGCAGTCATACCTTGGTGTGTTTTTATTGATGTAGTCATACCTTGGTGTGTGTTTTTTTTTTAATTTATGTAGTCATACCTTGGTGTGTGTGTGTTTTTTTTTTAATTTATGTAGTCATACCTTGGTGTGTTTTTTTTCTTTAATTTATGTAGTCATACCTTGGTGTGTTTTTATTGATGTAGTCATACCTTTGTGTGTGTTTTTTTTTTAATTTATGCAGTCCTACCTTGGTGTGTTTTTTTCTTTAATTTATGTAGTCATACCTTGGTGTGTGTGGGTTTTTTTTAAATTATGCAGTCATACCTTGGTGTGTTTTTATTGATGTAGTCATACCTTGGTGTGTGTGTTTTTTTTTAATTTATGTAGTCATACCTTGGTGTGTGTTTTTTTTTTAATTTATGTAGTCATACCTTGGTGTGTTTTTATTTATGTAGTCATACCTTGGTGTGTTTTTATTTATGTAGTCATACCTTGGTGTGTGTTTTTTTAATTTACTAGTCATACCTTGGTGTGTGTTTTTTTAATTTACTAGTCATACCTTGGTGTGTTTTTTTTTTCTTTAATTTATGTAGTCATACCTTGGTGTGTGTGGGTTTTTTTTTAATTTATGCAGTCATACCTTGGTGTGTGTGTTTTTTTTTAATTTATGTAGCCATACCTTGGTGTGTTTCTTCAGGTAAGAGTAACAACAGCTGAGAACCAGGGCCGGTTTGTGTTTTCCGAGGTCAAACAGCGCCTGGGAAATCTGTTCTTGTCCCTCTTCGGTCCTGTCATTGGCAGCATCAATCAGGGCCATCGTCATGTCTGTTTGTAGAAAATTAACACAAAAACAATGTGATAAATGCAAGTATCACACTTTAATAAACCTAGGATAAGTTTGTCTCTTCATTGATCAGAGCTGGAACTGTAGCATTAACATAATAATTCTATTGGCATCATAGGATATAAAAACTCGCTTCTGCTACAAAAATACTGAAATTTTTTCTTTCTGAATCAGCACATTTATCACAGCTGTCAACTGAAGTGGTCAGAATATTTGACTAATTATAACCCCATCCCTCCTCCTTCTTATGAAATGGAAAATTTATTGGACAGAAAAAATTATGACTATTCTTCTCTATACCTAATTACTTTAATTCTTTGGATACCTGGGGTACAGGTGACACTAAATTCTTATAAGCTTTTTATACTCCCCACCAGCTTGAAAAATAGGGGGTGCACAGTAATGGGCCCCCGGGGTGTCCATTCTTCCTTTAGTAAATCTGTTACTTATCTGCTACCCCTCTTTCACCACTGAATACAATATGATGAAACTTTCTTGTAATCTTTATTGTGCCATTTTGCACCTCTAAATTTACATTTTGATTGCACACATATTTTGGGTTTCCAAAAACAAAACATGGACACTGCCATTTTTTTTTCTATAATATTGGGGGTTTCCATCTCTTATCTGCAACTCCTCCTATACCACTGATCTGACAGGGGTTTGCCATAACAAAACATGGACTTTGCCATTATCATAATTATACTCAATAAAGCTGATACTCATTTTGTAAACACAACTCTCCCTAAAGCCCTGAATGAAATTCAATTGAACTTTCACAGAATCTCATTTACATACTTCCAAGAAATGAACTTTGCCATTATACTCTTATAGGAGTGGGGGTTATCATTTAGTAAGCTAAGTGCTCACTTCTATTTCTGTCTGAATTAATGATATGATTATCACTTACTTCCCTACTGCAACATTTTATCTTTTAAATTTCCCAGTCTTTATTTTTTTCCTTCTCTGTTTTAATTTAAATTTGCTAGATCATGCCTTAAGAATGCTTACTCGGAATGGATTTTTGTGCATATCTCTTAATTGTATCAGTCTAAGTTTGTTTAATAGTTGGGAAGTTTTACTTCTGTCAAAAAGAGACTAGCTTATATTATAATTTTGACAATATAGGCTGTCAAAATTCCAAAAGTTTTTTGTCTGGTATGTTCAGTAATCTTCAATTCAGTTTCGGGGTTTTTGGTTCAGTTCTTCATATCCATAATAAATTTAAACTTATAAACTTAAAACATTTTTAAAAATGAACATAATGACTAGTGGGTGAGTACGTGTTTCTCTGTAACTCTGAATATAAAGATTAAAATGAACATAATGAAAAGTAGATATTTTGCCAGTACAGGCACCATGCAAAGAAACATTTCCATTCCATGGAATTGATTCACATACCTCACTAAGTTAAGCAAAAAACGTGATTGTGCGAAAGTTTGATAAAGCTATTCTAATTTCCATCCGACATGTCAGACAGGACGAGAGTGCGAATTTGGACAAAGCTACTCCATCAGACTGGATTATTTGATTATTGTAGACTGGATTATTTGACAAAATTTTTTCATCAGACAGGGTCATTTTAATATGTCAAAAACAATAGATAACATTTTTTTAACCGCAAGCCATACGAACACTGACGAATAGATCCGCCACTATGCATAGCCTTGGGCGCCCCCTTCTCCTCTGTCTTCGCTTACCGTCAACCTGACCCCCCGTGCTCCGAACTCCGTCTTCTTCCGGGCCTGGCATTATCATTGACGGTTTCAGCAGTGTCACAAGATCTAAAACATTTTATCCTTGTAAATAGTTCAGCACCTCCTCGTCATGTGATTTGCATCGAATCGTCTGAAATAATTTCCGGTTGGGAAGATTTAGGTAGTGCATACCAAGTTTGTTCGATAAATAATTTTTTTTTTAAAATGCAACAATGATCCTTGAAAAATAGAAGTACTGAAAGTACTAACTCGAGTTGATGCACACGGAACATACGCTAAAACCTTCATCATTAAAATTTTGAAAAAATGATAGCATAGAATTCTTTATTATTTCCCATTCATGAAGTAAGATTATATTTTTCCCCCCTAACCTACTAGTCCATGGGGACTCCAAAAGGGGGGGGGGGGTATATATGATTCCTTTTTTCAGTGCAAGCAATACTTACTATATGTAAGTAGTATATACTTAGTATATAGGTCCCTGGTGCAAGTCATAACTTGACTGTCACTAGTGTGTGTGCCATACTTATTTTTATAAAGTCTTGCCTCCTAGCTCTGATGTAAAAATTAATGTTATAATATGTGTTCTAAGCCATCTTTAACATGTTTAATTACATTGATGAAATTGTAAGTTTGGTTTCTCGTTGACATTGCCTTTAAACAGTGGTAAATTGTCCAAATCAACTTTATCTAAAGTCAATTTAATTGGCCATTCTGGCAAAAAAAAAATAAATAAATAAATGAATAAAATAAAATAAAATAAAAATAAACGTAGACCTATACTTATAAACGGGTCAGTGGGAATTTCCTCCAAAATAATCTTTAAAAAATACAACCAATTTATATATGCCATAACGTACGATACAGAGTGACTCTAGACATTTAGTATTGCCACTTGAAAAAAGGGAGGGGGGTTTGCATGACCGATGACAACAGGCTCCAGGGGCGGGGCCATACAGTGTCACGTATTTTCACAATTAATCTTTTTTATATTTAAAAATGAGATTTAAAAAGTGAACTCGTGTAGGCATTATGGTCCCTGCAGAGCTAGATAACCAAGTAATTCAAGAAATTCAATTAGCAGAAATACATGTACGAATGTATTAATACATTATACCTCCCCTTGCCCTTTGCAATTTAGTTGCTGGGAATGCAAAAATTCAGAAAGTAGTGGATTTCATTTTATCATTTTCTTTTGACTTGATTTGTGGCATGATACCAATATTTAATGCCTTAAGTATCATTTGAGATACAAACTTGATCCCTGACACCTTTGAGTCATGATCAACAAAGCAGGGCTCACACTGTTTTAAGGCATTCCGACCGACTCAGAGCCCGATCTAGTTTATTTTGCACCAAGAAAGCCCGACTGGTCGTGTTAAAATCATGGGACCGGGGCCGTGCCCCCCCCACCCCCCAATAATTTTGCCGATATATAGACTACTATAGAAAACATAGTTACTATATGCTTGTGCCTCCTCAATAAAAAAACGTCTGGTGACCTTTTTTTTTTTTTTTTTTTTTTTTTTTTTTTTTTTTTTTTTGCTAGTCAAGGAATTTTTTGGTACTTGATTGTGCCCCCAACTGAAAATGTATGGCTGCCCCCCCCCCCCCCCAAATTGAAATTGCTTCCTAAGGGCCTGAAAATTACAAAGGATTTCTTAGCATTTGATTTAATCATGTATGCTATCTTGTTTTATATCGATGTGTTCGATTAGGTTTTACTTTCTATTTAGTCATGAAAAAAATTTATTTTGGAAAACTCTGCTTTACCGATTGTGAGACATTTATTTACACTATTATAGCATACATTAGTAGGTATTTTGTCAATCTTGCCGCCCATTGATTTTCTCGTAAGGGCTAAACTCTAATTAAACTCAACCCAGAGTTAGCTTTCCTGCCAGGTCATAAGATAACCATCTGTTTATTGATGATGTCGATTGACTCATTCAATGATCCACGGATATTGGGTCAGGTCTAGTGAAGTTGAGGTCAGGTCTAGTAACATTTTCAGGTACTAGTCCGACTGGTCTATTTTAATTTAAAATTAATTAATGCATTTTGAGCCCTGCAAAAGTAACATAAATTGAGCCAAGTCTTCATTTTTCTAGAATTTAAAGCATTTAGATATCTTTACAACTCGGTACTGGTTATGTTGCTTCATAATACAGGCATTAGGGGAAAAAATCATTCCAACGGAAAAAAAAACTAATTTCCGGAATTGAAAAAAGACTTTGTCAAACTTCAAAATAAATCAGTTCCCCTATTTTATAGGGGAAATGATTTATTTATATCCCTATTCCCATTTTATTGGAAGTATGTAGCACTTTGGTAGGGCTATGTGTATATGCCCCCAACCCCGTCCCGCCTAACAATGACTATTATTGTACTGTACATGCTTTTACCTTTTTAGAGAGGCACAAAGATAAAATTCCCCCTTGTCTTCACAGTTAGATAGTATTCATATTCTTCATTTATTTTAATTTTCCTCTGATTCATCGTTTATCTCCCCTTCTGGTAAAATAAAATGTTTAGAATATAATTAAGGACATACGCAACGTAGTTTGTACTTTATTGTCTTTTTCCCTGGAGTTGAAGAGTTCCAATACTTGAAGGAACTGTGTACTACATTTTAATGTCTATATATATGCTGTTGTACACTTCTTCTAAAACAAGTTTGGATAAACAAAACATCTAGAATACATGTTTAGTAATTTTTGTATATTTTTCTTTGAATTAAACAGGATTTTTTCATCAATTGATATCTTTTCAAAACCCGTGGTAATGCATGCTGATTTTTTGTCTACGAACATCTGATGGCACTATAATCTTAAATTAAGAATATCTTGGAAAATTATCAGTAGGTAAGGTACGTTGCGTATGTCCTTGAAGTCTAGGTGAGAATTTCAGTGAAACAGTGTCAGAGATTATCGTACTGGCTACTGTTAAACCACCTTAATGTCGTCACTTCACCATCCCAGTTGAAATTTCACATTATTTGGATGCAAGTCCTGAAGGCAAAGGAAAATTTTTGAACCACCAATGATGCATGTGAAGGAAGGTTGTCGCCCTTAATTTCCATGCTGTAAAGTATTGCTACTATCGTCCAATAAATATTAAAACATGTCGCCTCAAAGAGTAATAAACCACTCTGATTGATATACTAGTATATATTTCAAGTTTAAAAACTAACATGAAACACATCTCACCACTTTACATGTTTCACTTGGTCAAAAATACCTGTTCAAAATCCCGCGCTCTTACTACTTTCTACGTATTTGCACAAACAAGTACTGGAAAAGATTGTGAAGTGATGACTCACGATAGGCATGGATAAATTGCTCAAAAAACACATGATATCAAATGTCACTGTATTTGAAATGGCATAAATGATCTACACACGTGCATTTATCAAAGTCAAACAGTTCCAGTTATGAACTGTATATATAACAACACAGTTTATATTGTTTTGGAATTTAAACAAATTGTATGGATTCGCTAATGGAAACCAATTAATGATTTCAGTGAAATGCGATTTACATTTACATTCGACAAGTAGAAAGTTTAACTATGACGTTATACAGAACAATTTTCTAAAGATAGTGAATATTAATAATTTAAACATGCAATGAAGCTATGATATTTCGGAGACTGCTCTGACGCAGAACACGAGATAAAGTTTTTGTTTGATTGGATGGGCTACAATGCTCACATATACATGTGCATTTGTTGACAAAACAATCAGAATAACACAAAACGACTGCAGAATAAATAACTTTATTACTTTTTCAACAGTGAAATACTGTGATTTATTCATTGAATAAAAGTGATATTCTCTCAAAGTGTGAAAGGATAAAAGTGATATTCTTTCACAGTGTGAAAGGATATCAAAGTAAGTAAAATATAATTTCTGGCCTGTAATAAGATTGAGATAGTAACTAAACCATCTTGATAGAGACTAAAACTTCCAATTTCTTCCCAAATATGTTGCTCAAAATTTCCATGTTACAATGTTTTCAATCTCACAACTGCTAAGCTATGACGTCTCAACTGCTCAACTATGACGTCACAGCCCATGATACTGTGTTAGAAAAGACAGAGGCAAAGGGAAAATCAAAGAAAATGTAATCAAATAAACAGAAAATTCAATGTTTTGTAGTTGGATATGGAATTTATTTCACTCGTGAGACAGGATTTTTCGAAATTTTCACTCGTGCTTCGCACTTGTGAAAATATCAAAAATTTCCGTCCCACTCGTGAAATAAATTCCTTATCCAACTACAAAACATCGAATATCCTCTATTTATCTGCCACTAAATTGTATCTATCACGATACGACAATATAAATTTTTTAATATTAAATTAATTAATTTAATTTGACAAAAACCACATTTTGCGCAAGTCATACATACAGTAAACAAATATAGTCACTTAGATTTTCTTATATTATGTGCGTCACGTATGAAATTACACATAATTCTTGTTGATTTAACATCTGCTGGATTAAGAATTTCGTAAGATATACATGTATTGTTAAAAAGTGTACAATATTCACTTTGTAGTTGTTTATAAAGAGGACATACATGTACAAATAAAAAATGATGCTTATCTTCAACAACAGTTTGACAATTAATACAATATCTTTCATCTCTTGGTATAATTGGATTAAAACTGATATCTGCCAACCTCTGTCTGTAATTTGTGGGCACTTATTCTTAACCGAGTCAAAAAAGAACAAAGATTCTTGGAAATGGAAAAAATTAAGTATGGTTGAATTTCAAGCTTGTTTAGATTTTGTGGACTTACCGGGTATTAACTGACTGTAGAATGACAATTTTCCATTACCCTTTTCTTTGATATTTCTATTAATGTCCCTGAAAACTATATTCTCAAAATACTTTTTCAAATTATTTTCAAAATCATTTATAGATAAAGTATAAGCAACAATAACTTCATCAAGTATTCTTCGTATACAATTTTGCCAACATGTTTTCCCATTTCCTGCAAGTTTTTCATCCTCTAAATATGCATGTTGTAAAAGCAAGTAAAAGCAAATAACAATTAATATAAATATTAAATATATACATAGGCGTCGGAACGGGGGGGGAGGGGGGGGGGGGCTTTTGCAAAGAT